TTCGGGTCCAACCAGATATCTATGTTCCACGCTTCTGAATCCCATTCTTTATCAACCATTTTCCTAACTTTCACATGGGAAACTTGGTGGAATTGTAAATTCAACTGTTGTTTGTAATTCGCCACAAAATTAAATTTTGTGTATGAGTTTCAGCAATACCAGCCTATAACTAAATAGCTTCCTTTAGAGATGTCATAGAAACTGGTTCTCAGACTGTAACTTGAGCTTAATGGAATTAAGCTTGTCATTTTCTTTTTCTAAGTGCTCAAGTGAAGTCAAAAGAGAATCTAGTCAACACTGCTGTGCTTATAGCCATCATTATTGCCACAAATGGTCAAGTGCAGCAGCCACTTGGGCTCTCAAGGCACAACAAATCAACCTGTGCCAAATATGAGAAAGTGTTTTACTTAGATAGTACTTTCTCATAATTGGCACAGGTGGTAGATTGATTTGTTGTAATGGAATCTGAAAAATATATCCCAGTAATACCTAATAAGGTCTATAATTCTGTCATGTAGCTTGTCATGTTACAGAATCCAGAGGATTAAATTAGTACAAAATTGCCAAAAAAACCCAGATATTTGGCTATAATACCAGGTACCAAAGGCCTCTTAAAATCTTTTCATTCAGTTTCCCTCAAATTCTCTTTAATGGTTCCACGCCATTTCATTTTCCTACTAGTATTTTACTTTTTCAGTCTACTCAAATGGACCCATTCTTCTTCTAAAATAATTTTTTATTTTTAATTGCAGTTAATGTATACAAAATTATATTAGTTTCAGGTGTACAACCCAGTGATTAGAAATTTATATAACTTTCAAAGTGATCACCCTGATAAATCTAGTACCCATCTGACATCATACATAGTTATTACAATATTATTGACTACACTACTTATGCTGTACTTTACATCTTCATGACTATTCTGTAACTACCAACTTGTACATCTTTTTTTGTTGTTGTTAATCCTCACCCAAGGATATTTTCCCATTGATTTTTAGGGAGAGTGGAAGAGAGAGGGAAAGACAGAGAAACATCGATATGAGAGAAACACATCGATTGGTTGCCTCCTACACGCGCTCCGACCAGGGCCCAGGCTGGGGAGGAGCCTACAAACGAGGTACGTGTCCCTTTGACTGGAATCGAATCTGGGACCCTTTGGTCCACAGGCCGACGCTCTGTCCACTGAGCCAAAGCAGCTAGGGCCCAGTTTGTACATCTTAATTCCTTTACCTTTTTCACAACTTAATTCCTTTACCCAAGCCCCCTCCCATTTAGCATTATCGAAATGTTCTCTGTATCTATGAGTCTATTGCTGGTCTGCTTATTTATTTGTTTTTTAGATTTCACATATAAGTGAAATCATATGGCATTTGTTTTTCTCTGACTTATTTCACTCAGCAAAATACCCTCTAGGTCCATCTATGTTCTTGTAGATGGCAAGATTGCTTTTTTTTTTTATGGCTGAGTCATATTTTGTTGTATATATGCATCACCTCTTTATCCATTTATCTATTGATGGACATTTAGGTTTCTTCCATATCTTGGCTATCATAAATAATACTGCAATGAACATATGGTGGATGCATGTCTTTCTTATTTAGTGTTTTGGATTTGTTCAGATAAATATCCAGAAGTGGAATTGCTGGGTCCTTCATTGTCTTTTTTTTTTTAGTAAGCTATGAAGGTGGTTTTTTTTAAAAGTCTGTTTTTATTGATTTCAGAGAAGAAGAGAGAAGGAGAGAGAGATAGAAACATCAGTGATGAGAGAGAATCATTGATTGGCTACCTCCTGCACGCCCCCTACTGGGGATTGAGCCCGCAACCCAGGCATGTGCCTGGAATCAAACCCAGGACTTTTCAGTCCCACAGGCTGACACTATACACTGAGCCAAACTGACCAGGGCCATTGTCTCTTGTTATAGCCTTTGTTTTAAAGTCTATTTTGTGTGGTATAAGTATTGCTACCCAGTTTTTTTGTTGTTTCCATTTTAATGAAGTATATTTTTCTATCTCTTTACTTTCAATCTGAATTGAGTCTCTTATAAATAGCATATTAAGAGTCTTGTTTGGTTACACATTCAGTTACCATGTGTCTCTTGATTTAATTGATTTGCATTTAAAGTAATTGTTGATAGCCCAACCAGCATGGCTCAGTGGTTGAACTTTCAACCTAAGAACCAGGAGGTCATGTTTCAATTTCCAGTCAGGGATCGTGCCTGCAACCCCGGGCATGTGCCCTTACCGGGAATCAAACCTTGACCTCCTGTTCACGGGTCAATGCTCAGCTACTGAGCCACATCGGCCGGACCTTATAGTGTATTCTTCATTTCAGTTATTGTATTTTTCATTTCTGACTTTTAAAAAATGTTTTTTATCTCCATTTTCATGTTACCTATCTCTTTGTTGAAATTCTCACAAAGTTCATCTACTCTTCCCCTAAGTTCATTGAAACTCCTTATAACTAGTGTTTTGAAGTCTGCATTTGATAAATTGCTTGTCTCCGTTTTATTTAGTTCTTTTGTTCTATTCTTTCTTTTGTGATATGTTTCTTTGTCTCCTCACTTTGGATGCCTCCTTATGTTTGTTTCTCTGTATTAGGTAGAGCTGCTACGTCTCCCAGTCTTGGTAAAGTGGCCTTATGTGGTAGATGGCACAACCTCTCCAGCCACTCAAGCTGGGCAATCCAGGTGTGCTCCTGTGTGGACTGTGTGTGTCCTCCTATTGTAGTTGAGCCTTGATTACTTTTGTCACGCCAGTGGGAGGGATTTACCCCCAGGCCAACTGGCTGCCGAGTACTGGCCCTGACTACAGCCAAGGAGCTGGTGTTCAGGGCCCAATCCCATGGAGCAGGACTTGCTTTATTGGGGCTCTGGTGCCTGATGAGTCCGCCCCTTCAGTGTGTCTTTCATGAAGGTGGTAAGGTGGAGCTCCAGTGTGGTCTGAACTCATCAAATGGACCCATTTTTAAATACTGTATTGAACTTTTAAAAGTTTTTAATATTCTTCTTACTTTTATAGCTTAACTGATCCTAGCCTCCAATATATTTTTCTCCCTTCATTTATTCTACATTTTGTTAATCTAAGATCAGTTCTTCTTTGCTTCTGCTATATTTTTACTGATGAGCTCTTTTGGTATTTATTTTCAACTTTGAGGCCTAACTCTAAGAGGTGGAGTTTTAATAATATAGTTCTCTAAGAGGAACTGAAGGTAGTAACTCAGTTCCAAAGCTTTATGATGTGTGCTTGATTTAAATAGCAGAATTTCTTCTCCAAAGCAACTAGCTTTAGATGTAGGATTTTTCCAAAATAGTACCCTCAACTTTGAGTCAGTAGTTAAAATGTACAATCAAGTCCTTCCATTTGTAAACATTATACCTTCGTAAAATTGAGATGTCATTTAGGAAGCATAAAGGCCAAGCAGTTGTGTAATGCATTTACATAAACAGCTTCAAAAAGAGTAGTGTGTGTGTGTGTGTGTGTGTGTGTGTGTGTGGTTGCCATGAATTTACTTGAATCATTTCTTTTTTTCTTCCTTCAGTTCAGTTCAGTACAGTTTCTGATTAATAAGTATGGAATCATTATTGCCTGATACTGCAGACATAGGGGCAACATGGCTACCTAGAAGTATAAGTGCCAGCATTTAGGTCATATGGGATTCCATATCCCCCATGCCTCCCAAACTTCATGGCAATTATGATGTTTCTAACCCATTGCCTGTAAATGTTGTTGTTGTTGTTATTATTATTATTGTTTGTTTGTTAATCCTCACCCAAGGATATTTTTCCATTGATTTTTTAGAGAGAGTGGAAGGGAGGGGGAGAGAGAGAAACATCGATGTGAGAGAGACGCATCAATTGGTTGCTTCTTGCACAAGGATTGAACCTGCAACCAAGGTACATGCCTTGACCGGAATCGAACCCAGGACTCTTCAGTCCACACGCCTATGCTCTATCCACTGAGCCAAACCACTTAGGGATGTAAATGTTATATTTAAACACTTTTTTTTAGGTTATTAAATTGTTTATTGTATTGCATTTACAAAGAAAACAGACAATGCATCCAGTAGCAAGAATAAAAATGTACTCAGGATTTTATTTTTAACTGACAGCAAATAGAAATTCTTTAGTGAGATCATGACAGTTTGACAGTATTATGATTAAGTTCAATAAAGGTTCATGGTGTACTTAGAAGATCAAATTCTACAGCTGCCTTTTTCTACAACCTCTACTTCATCTGGACCCTTAAATGATGGGGAAAGCCCTTATTTTATGAGAAACATTGCCAAAATGAAGTTATATGTTTTTCTACTACAAATTCGTGTCAGTTGTTGAAACAGGGCCTTCTACTTTATGTTTTGGTTATTTCATCTTATTATCATTATCAGAATTCCTATAACTCCACAGTTGTAATTTAAACACTTTCTGTCCAGAAAAAGTTAAATTACACTTCACTTTGGAAAATTATACATCACAAAAACAGTTTTCAAAGAGAAACAATAATGAGTTTTAGCCTAACTTTTTAAAAATCTTTTATAAACTATCACATTTATAGTACTGCCACTTTCTGTGGAATGGCATATTTACTTGAATATTAACTGCTAAAGCTGAAACATCAGCTTTTCATGTGGGAATATACAGTAGTATTATGATTACCTTATTTCTGTTTTATAAAATCAACCATAGATGAGTATTGCTTTAAAGACAGTTCTACTGATAAGGTTACATTAATGCAGAAATGGGATCTAAGAAACAGTTATTTCTGAGACATATCTATCTTTTGGCGTGTGTATAATCTCTTTGTATCTCAGCTTCCCAAGTGAGATAAAAATACCACCTGTAGAGTTTTAGTGGGGATTAAATGAATTAAAAGTGTTGAGAACAAAGTACTTATAAAGCACTTCTGATAGCTTTTACTGTTTTCATCCTTTCCATTATTACATCTATGAGGTGATTGTCCTAAATATAAAGATTGACATTTTTTCTTATTATTATTTTCAGATGACCTGTGTAGAAAAAGCAGGAACAGATGAGAAAATGCTTATGAAGGTCTTTCGCTGTTTGGGGAGTTGGTTTAACCTAGGCGTTTTGGACAGTAACTTCATGGCTAACAATAAGTTACTAGCACTCCTTTTTGAGGTTTTGGTAAGTAATGGCTTTGTTTATGAAAGTATTTCTGCCACATAGTCACAGTAACTAACCTTCTGAGATATAAGTGTTTTCATATTTCTGAAAAGTGATTGGAAGAAAAAGAAACAGCGATATCTCAAGCACAAATATTGAATAGGTCTTTGCAGATGGGAGTGACTTTGTCTCCTTTTTCCCAATGCTTTTCTTCCATGAAGATATATTAGTATGGAAGCTCTGTGCTTAATGGTTGTGTGCTGGTACACGTTAATCAGCTGCCTCCTGCACACCCCTTACCAGGGATCAAGCCTGAAACCCAGGCATGTGCCCTGACTGGGAATTGAACTGGTGACCTCTTGCTTCATGGTTAATACTCACCACTAAGCTACCCTGGCTGGGCGAGTTAAATAATTCTTTTCCTTCAAAATTTTCAAGGGCTCTTGTATACTGGCAAACATCATTGTTAATGATGAAGCTGGTTAACTGATTTTTGCTTCATCATTGCTCATGATCAATCTGGATAACTGGTTTTTGCTCCTTTCTAAGTTACCTTCTTCTCTCTTCCCCAGAAGTTTTAAGAACCTCTCTTTAACCTTGATATTCTGAAATATCATATTGATGTTATGTATGGGTCTGTGATACTTGTTGGATCCTTTTATTTTATCATTTTTAAAAAAATAAATCTTTATTGTTCAGATTATTACAGTTGTTCCTCTTTTTTTCCCCCATAACTCCCCTCCACCCAGTTCCCACCCCACCCTCTGCCGTTACCCGCCCCCCACTGTCCTCATCCATAGTTTACGATTTTTGTCCAGTCACTTTCCCCACCCCCACACCCCTTTCCCCCCTGAGAATTGTCAGTCCACTCCCTTTCTATGCCTCTGATTCTATTATATTCACCAGTTTACTCTGTTCATCAGATTTTTTATTCACTTGATTTTTAGATTCACTTGTTGATAGATATGTAATTTGTTGTTCATAATTTTAATCTTTACCTTTTTTCTTCTTCCTCTTCTTAAAGAATACCTTTCAGCATTTCATATAATACTGGTTTGGTGGTGATGAACTCCATTAGCTTTTTATCTGTGAAGCTCTTTACCTGACCTTCAATTCTGAATGATAGCTTTGCTGGATAAAATAATCTTGGTTGTAGGTTCTTGCTATTCATCACTTTGAATATTTCTTGCCACTCCTTTCTGGTCTGCATAGTTTCTGTTGAGAAATCAGCTGACAGTTGTATGGGTACTCCCTTGTAGGTAACTGACTATTTTTCTCTTGCTGCTTTTAAGATTCTCTCTTTGACTTTTGCCCTTGGCATTTTAATTATGATGTGTCTTGGTGGGTCCTCTTTGGATTCCTTTTGTTTGGGGTTCTCTGCACTTCCTGGACTTGTAAGTCTATTTCTTTCACCAGGTAGGGGAAGTTTCTGTCATTATTTCTTCAAATAGGTTTTCAATATCTTGCTCTCTCTCTTCTTCTGGCACCCCTATAATTCGGATGTTGATACGCTTGAAGTTGTCCCAGAGACTCCTTACACTATCTTGATATTTTTGGATTCTTTTTTCTTTTTGCTTTTCTGGTTGGGTATTTTTTGCTTCTTCATATTTCAAATCGTTGACTTGATTCTTGGGATCCTCTTGTCTGCTGTTGGATCTCTGTATATTATTCTTTATTTCAGTCAGTGTATGCTTAATTTCTAGTTGGTCCTTTTTCATATCCTCAAGGGTCTCGCTAAATTTATCGGCGATTTCTAGAAAATTCTTGAAAAACCTTATAACCGTGGTTTTGAACTCTATATCCAGTAGTTTGCTTTCCTCCATTTCTGTCATTTGTGATCTCTTTCTTTGTCTCTGCATTTTGGCTGCTTCCCTGTGTTGATAGAGTGGCTTTGTGTGCTAGGTGTCCTATATGGCCCAGTGGCTCAGCCTCCCCAATTACTTGAGGTGGACACTCTTGGTGCACCCCTTTGTGGGCTGTGTGCACAGTCTTGTTGTAGTTAAGCCTTGATTGTTGTTGGTATCACTGGGAGGAATTGACCTCCAGGGCAATTGGCTGTGAGAATCAGCTGTGTCTACAGTGGGAGAACTTCTGTGCTGAAGACACCCTTCTGGGGCAAGACTTGCTTCAGTGGGGCTTTGGTCCTCACTGAGTCTGCCCCCTGACTGTGTCCCTTATGGATCTGAGGAGTTGTAATCTGGATGGTCCTACTCTGACCACTAGGTACACGGGCTCTTGGATCTCTAAGGAGGTGCTAATTTAGCCTCTACCTGAGGCTACCCAGCAGGAGCTACGGAGAGATCTGCAGATTCCTCTTCCTTGTTTGGGGTTTGGAGGTGCCCAGATGAGGCCCAGCTGTGAAGCAATGCAAGCTACTGTGGGACCTTGAGCCTTCTTTTGGATGTTCTGGTTCTCTCTGACCCAGCTGCAATTTGTTAGGTAATTTTAGATCTCAAAGAGCCAGTCCATTCATATGCAAAAGCCTCTGCTCTCGGCTTGGGTGGGGCAGGGTCTCAGGGAATCAACAGGGCAGAGCAAACAGCTATGGCTGGTTCTCAGTCCTGCCCTAAGAGGCCCCACATCTCAGTGTCCGGGTAATCGCTGCAAGCACCTCTGAGAAAGCTGCCCTTGAGTTCCGCCTGCTTCCAGACAATCCAGTTTCTCCCCGTATGAGTCTGGGTCCCCAGAGACTTTCCCGGAACTGGAGTCAGGGCCATCGGGAGCTTGTGCCTCCCTCCCGATTGAAAAAGACAACCATGTCCCCCATTGCCAGCCCTTTCTGTGCGCGCACCTCCGTACCTCTGCACTTTACTTCCACACCTCCTGAGTCTCAGTGTGCTTTTCTCTTTCCTTCTAATTATAGAATTTCCACCCAGCCTTCCTGTGGTTCTGGGTGATGTCTGTTTTGTCTTTAGTTGTAGTTTTGAAGTGGTTGTGCGAGGCAGCAATTTCAGGTGTTTACCTATGCCACCATCTTGGTTTCTCCATCCGGATACTTTTATTTTAGATAGTACTTGAATATCAGAAAAAGGATGGAAAAAATTTCCAGAGACTAAAATATGGCAGGAAACACAGATGGCATTCCAGTCAGAGGGACTGATATGGAAAACATGGGTTTTAGAAGTCAGGTGATCATGATTGAGGTACAGAAAGGCTGATTTGCTTGGCATATAGGGAAATTGTCAAAAATAGCATTGAGAAAATTGATGGATATTGTCTCATTGAAGGCCATGGCTACCAGGCTTTAGCCATGTAAATTACATTTTTCAGAAACAGGCTATTATTGTTTACATATTAATTGCATTATAGCTTAATGATCATACTTCTGCCCTATTCCTGCTGTTTCCCAGCAACAGGATAAGACCTCATCCAACCTACATGAAGCTGCTTCAGACTGTGTGTGCTCAGCTCTCTATGCCATTGAGAATGTGGAGACTAACTTGCCATTAGCCATGCAACTGTTTCAAGGAGTCCTGACATTGGAGACTGCCTATCATATGGCTGTGGCACGTGAAGATTTAGACAAGTGAGTATTTAAGACAGTAGCCCTGGGTTCACACACAGTCTGGTGTTTTTTTATAATTTATCTATTCTTTGTGACTATAAATACACACTCTGCATCCTAAAGATGCTCTTCTATTTTCATCTGACCTGTAGTGGCAAATTGGATGCAGAAGGAAAAGTTGTAATCATGGAAAGTTGTAATTTTTTATGCTTAAAAGGGGCAAGGCTCTAAAAATTAGGGATGAACTTTGAAGAATCAAGTGTGATTTGATGGGAATTTTATTCAGCTTTAGTATTTGAGAATTTGAACTGACTTATGAGTCATTTGCTTATATGTATAAAAGTATATGATGTAAGAATAGTGGATGTTATGGAGATTGGAGTACAGCATAGCAAATAATCATTTGGGCTGAGGATCCTTTTCTTTATTTGAATAACTGTTGGTGAATATGTACATAAAATAGCGAGATTTCTGACTTGGTGTTCTCATTCTTCTTTCATCTACAGAGTTCTGAATTACTGTCGGATTTTTACTGAACTATGTGAAACTTTTCTTGAAAAAATTGTTTGTACTCCAGGCCAAGGTCTTGGGGACCTGCGAACTCTAGAACTGCTTCTTATCTGTGCAGGACATCCTCAGTATGAGGTAGTGTTTATACTATGCTAAAGCCATTATTCTCTAAGTTTTATGTTGCATATTATTTATATTCTGTTGTTTCCCACCAAGCTTTATATTAATGGGAAATTATAGTCTTATTTTTAATTGATCTGATGTGGGGGTTACCTCTGTATTGGATTTTTTTTTTAATTAATTATATTTGGGCTTCTTTTGAATTCTTTTCTATTTTTTACCTGGTTAGCTGAGCTGACTGGTATGTGTACCTCAATGAGTCAGTTAGAAAGAAAGCCTACTGTCTTTCTACTAAGCCCACTATTTCTCTGTAGTTATTCTTTAGAGTTTTACAGCTAAAAAAAAACTCCACCAAATCTTAAGCGCACCTCCAAAAATCTTAACATCCAAAGTTTGTCTCCAGATTATGGATGGGAATGAGAAAAGGATTAAAAGGACTTAAAGAGTCTCCTTCATTCCAAATTTGGTGTAAGACACCCTACCTCTTTTAAGTTTGCTAGATTAAAAAAAACAACAACTTCATTTAAGTAGTTTTTTCTTCTTTTAATAGTGTAAGAAATGACAAAAAACTCCCAAGTTGAGTTAATAGCTCTATTTTGGATCCTTGATGGGAAAAGTAGGATATAGGGTCCCTCTTAGGGAGGTCACAATAGTCCTGTTAATTCTCAGCCCCTTTTCTGTTATACGAAAGATAATGTTTTTGGTATTTTTTGTTTGTTTGTTTGTTTGTTTTTAAGATAATGTTTATTTGTTTGATATAATCTCATGAGGATATCTAGATTTGGATGAAACTTAAGACATTTGCCCTGGCCCTAACCGGTTTGGCTCAGTGGATAGAGCATCGGCCTGCGGACTCAAGGGTCCCAGGTTTGATTCTGGTCAAGGGCATGTACTTTGGTTGTGGGCACATCCCCAGTAGGGGGTGTGCAGGAGGCAGCTGATTGATGTTTTTAACTCTCTAGCCCTCTCCCTTCCTCTCTGTAAAAAAATCAATAAAATATTTTTTTAAAAAAAAACAAAAACATTTGCCCCGCCTAGGTATCTTGGTTGGAGCATCTTTCTGATACACCAAGGATCCCGGTTCAATTCCCAGGCAGGGCACATATAAGAGACAACCAATGAATCCATATATAAGTGGAACAACAAGTTGATACCTCTCTCTCTCTCTCTCTCTCTCTCTCTCTCTCTCTCTCTCTCTCTCTCACTCTCTCACTCTCACTCTCTCTCAAAATCAGTTTCTTAAAAATCAGTTAAAACATTTTTGGGGCTGGTCAAGATGATTGCATAGGTAAATACTGGACTCTCCACCTCTCACAACCACATCAAAATTACAGCTAAAATACCAAACAACCATCATTCACAACCATCTGAAATCTAGCTGAATGCAAGTCCTACAACTAGGGAATTAAAGAAGAAGCACACATCAAGACTGGTAGGAGGAGTGGAGAGTTGGAGTGAAGTTATAGAACCAGCTGGTCCCATTCTCATGTGTGGCAGTTTAAAATTGGGAGGGATATCTTGGCTGTGGAGGTTTCCCTAAAGGAGTAGTGGGTCCCAGCCCCACACCAGGTTCCACAGCCCAGGGTTCTAGTATCAGGAAGAGAAGTCTCCACAATTTCTAGCTGTAAAAACCAGCAGGGATTGTGGCTAAGTGACACAGAGGCTTGTTGGTCTCAGGCAGTTCCTATTAAAGGGCCCTTTTACTCAGACTCATTTCCTCTGAGCTCGAGCACTGGGCAGCAGCTTGAAAGGAACCTGGGACATTCAGGGAGGAAGTAACTTGCTTGGAATCAGGGCAAGAGCTGGAGGGGCAGCTTTCTCCCAGACAGAAGTTCTGGCAGAGGCCATTGTTGCTTTGATGAGCTCTCTGCACCACAAAGCTGGCAGGGGCAACACCATATCTGAATCTTCATCAACCTGGCTCACACTTTTTGGCATACCCTGGTGATTCCCTAAGATCCTGCCCCTCCCTACTTGCATGCTCATCCAAGCCATTTCCAGTGGCTTTTCCATACAACTGGTCTCTCTTGCCTCATGCTTCAGACTTTCCTAAAATCTCAAACAAGCAGCATCTGGCTTCAGCATACCCCATACCTCTCAGTAAGTGGCCCCAGGCCCGGCATTAGTGGCAGCCTGCCTTGGTTCATAGCTTGGCCTCTCCTGGGCACCTCCAGGCTTAACACAAGTAGCAGCCATCTGCAGATTGCTTTGTAGTTCATGGTGGGTGGTCCCATGTAGAGGGCACAGGCAGTGGCTGACTTTGCACCTCCCAGTAGGCTCCAGAACCAGCAGTGCATCTAGTGGTCAACTTCAACCATGCTGGATTACAACCCTACCATCTCCACAGGTGACACAGTCAAGGGGTGGACACACCAAAGTCCCACTGAAGCAAGTCCTGTTCCATAGGGTCAGCACCTGCACAGCTCACACCGGGAGGCACCTGGATTGCCCAGCTCAGGTGACTGGGAAAGCCGAGCCATGGGGCCCAACAGGACATCTACTACACAAGGCCACTCTACTAAGTCCAAGAGACATAGCAGATCTACCTAATACATAGAAACAACCATAGGGAAGCAGCCAAACTAGAGAGACAAATAAACATGCCACAAATGAAAGAACAGGAGAACTCTCCAGAAAAAGAACTAAATGAAATGGAAGCAAGAAAACTACCAGATACAGAGTTTGAAGCAGTGGTTATAAGGATGCTCAAGTAACTTACTGAAAACTTCAAGAAACACAGTGAGAACATCAGCAACATAAAAAACCAGTCAGAAATGAAGGATACATTCACTGAAATGAAGAATAATTTGCAGGGAATCAGCAGTAGAGTACAGGATGCTAAGAATCAAATAAAATATTTGGAATATCAAGAAACAAAAACACCCAATCAGAAGAACAAAAAGAATAAAAAAATATGAAGATCGTGTAAAGAGTCTCTGAGACTAAAACTTAAACATACCAACATTCACATCATGGAGATGCTGGAAGGAGAAGAGAGACAGAAAGAAAATGAAAACCTATTTGAAAAAATAATAACAGAAAACTTCCCTTACCTGGTGAAAGAAATAAATATACAAGTCCAGGAAGCACAGAGTCTCAAACAATATGAACCCAAAGAGACCTATACCAGGACACATCATAATTAAAATGCCAAAGGTTAAAGACAACTGGGGGAAAAAATAATATCTCAGAGAGGAAGGGAGAAGGGGGAAAAGAGATAGAAGCATCAGTGATGAGAATCATTGATTAGCTGCCTCTGGCATGGCCCCTACAGGGGATTGAGACTGTAATTTGGGCATGTGCCATGCCTGGGAATCGGTTCATAGATTGCTGCTCTACCATTGAGCAACACCAGCTGGGCCAAAGAGAGAATCTTAAAAGCAGCAAGAGAAAAGCAGTTAGTTACCTACAAGGGAGTACCCATATGACTATCAGCTGATTTCTCAACAGAAATTGCAGGCCAGAAGGGCGTGGCACAAAATATTCAAAGAAATGAAAACAAGTACCTAAAACAAGGTTACTATACCCAGCAAAACTATCATTTAGAATTGAAGGACATATAAAGAGATTTCCAGACAAGAAAAAAGCTACAGGAGTTCATCACAACTAAACCAGTATTACATAAAAAATAAAGGGTCTTGCCCTAGCCAGTTGGGCCCAGTGGATAGAACGTCAGACTGTGGACTGAAGGGTCCCAGGTTCGATTCTGGTCAAGGGCACTTGACCGGGTTATGGGCTCGATCCCCAGTAGGGGGCATGCAGGAGGCAGCTGATCAATGATTCTCTCTCATCATTGATGTTTCTATCTCTTCTTGTATAAAATCAATAAAAATATTTTTTATAAATAAGTAGAGGGTCTTGAGGAAGAAGGAGGAGAAGAAGGATGATGATCAAGAATATGAATAATAAAATGGCAATAGATATGTATATATCAACAATTGAATCTAAGAATCAAAATAAGCAAAGGAGAGACTCAGATATAGACAGCATTTTGACAGTTGTGAGATGGGAGAGAGGTTGGACAGATGGGTGAAAAAGGTGAAGGATTTAGAAGTACAAATTAATCATAGCCCATGGACACAGACAATAGACAGGTGAAGGCCTGGAATGGGCTGGGAGATGGGTGGAAGGGGGCAAAGCGGAGAGTGGAGGACATCTGTAATACTCTCAACAACAAAATAAATTTTAAAAAATAAAATGAAATGAAACTTTTGGGAGATAGTATAGCACTACAAATAATTATCACTTCTTTAAACAGTGCTATAAGTAAGATAAGCTGTGGATAAAGTCTTTTTTCCCCTTCTCTCCCATTCAAGAAAGCAAGTAAATATAAGTGATACAAGGTTGGTATGTACAGGGATATTTGCAGATGGACAGGGATATTTGCAGATGGTTTGTCTGGTTAGAGGTTCTCCAATCTCAAACATAAAATGAAATAATTTCAGAATTTGGGAAAAAATACTTGAAGAGATTTCCATTTTTCTATCTGCTTCTCTAAATTCAGAATCCAGTATACTGTTGAAGAAGTTATCTAGGGTAAATAGGGAATGTAAAGCCATTCCTAAAAGGAGTTTGGAATCAAATAAGGGGAAATAATTTGGGAGGAGGATAATAAATGTACTAGAAAAAAGGTGGTTTCTTAATTCGTTCTACTTAAAAATATATCTTGTTTCCTACATCGCCCTAATAATAATAAGACTCATTCCATTCCATTATCCCTTTCTCTAACAGGTAGTAGAAATCTCCTTTAACTTTTGGTACCGACTAGGGGAGCATTTGTACAAAACTAATGATGAAGTTATTCATGGCATCTTCAAAGCTTACATTCAGAGGCTACTTCATGCCTTGGCTCGACACTGCCAGCTAGAACCAGACCATGTAAGTTCTCTTCTCTACTTGTTTAAATCTTAATTTCCTCCTCTTTTTAGTGCTGTTTTGAAGAGGAACTTTTGAGAATAAAGCTAATGAAATGTGAAGGTTTTCTGTCACTAGCTTAAACTGAAGAAATCAGTATATGTATATTGGAAGAGTATTAGGTCTGTTTACGAAGAAATTAAGTCTGCTGAGCCAGTAATTCTCCTGGGAATTTACCTTAAATTTTGCAGAAGAAAAAGTAGCTATTTTATAGAAAGCATTATTTATTTTTTTAAAAATGTAAAACCACGTACAACAGTATAAGAAGAATTGTATAAATTATGATGTAGCACCTTAATGTACCATTGTGTAGCAGTTAAAAATAAATGACTATTGAAATTGATAGCTGGTATGCTAAATGAAAAAATCAGAATGTGTTGTTGGATTTAAACTAACACAAAAGTTAAATATTTTTTTGCTTAGAAGAAAGTATACTAGGAATATTATCAAATAGACTGTTCAAAAACTCTTCAATTTCTATTCTTTGCATAGTCTCTTCAAATTTTAAAGCATTTATTTCATCCTTTTGGTTGGTTGGTTGGTTTAATCCCTGTCCTTTAATTTAGGACCTAGAGTGAGGATTTTTTTTTTTCCCATTGCTTACAATTAAATCTGACATGAAAACTGTCTATTCTGTTCATTTTAATGTTAACATTGTTGTTCGAGTCATGCTATTTTGTGTCTCTAAAGAACTTTAATGATGATCTAGTCTAGTGGTTTTCAATACTTTTTTAAACTGATGAATACTGTCTTTAACTACATCTTACTTAGAAGCCTGATAATGTAAATAAAGGCAGGGTGCTCTTGTTTAAATGACTCGATTCCTTTCTTCCCTTTGCTAGTTCTGTGGTACCATTTCCCATGTAGTTCATTTCCTACACTTGTTAGGTGTATTGTGTTTTATCTCATCTAAGACAGCCTTCATTTCCTTTCCTCCTTACTCCTTCACTTTTATTAATTTGTTCATCTTACAGTAAGGAAGTTGAACTACATCATCAATTCTCAATAGTCCTAAGGGCTGTTTTCAGATTTCATGTTCCAAGATTCTTATATATGCCCTTAACCATTTCACCATTGGGTAAGCCTTTGTTTACTCATAGAAGTGTGTTGGAATAAGAAATATTTAAGAAACATTGAAATGTAAATGATTTCTATTTTTTAATGAAAATTTTCAAATATGCAGCAAAGGTGAAATGATTTTATTAGTGAGTATCTGTATACCTACTACCTAAATTCTACAATTAATATTTTACTATACTTGTTATATTATGTCTGTTAACCTATACAAAATTCTTTTTAAATAATTTATTCTGTGACTAGTTATTGGGATAATGGTTAATTTTAGTAGATCTTGAACCATAACGTTTCAGAGGCTTATTCAGCACTAAAAAGCTAGAACTTATTTAAATGAACTTAAAAACTCTTAAATTACCACCTCTTCCAGATCACTTCCTACCTCCATCCCTTTAAAATTTTCTAACAGTAGAGTAAGGCAGAGCTTGGAAATGAAAAAAAAAAAATGAAGTAGTAGAAGAAGAGTTGGTAAAAGTGGTAGAGGATATGTTTTATTGACTTGAAATACCTAAATGTTTGGGAGATGCTCTATAATAAAATATCCTTGTGATTTAGGTGATTTATCTTTTGTCCAATGGGCATGGTCTACTAAATGGCCTTCTTTTTTCTTGATTGTATAGTGGTCAGTGAAAACATTTAAAACAAATGTTATCTGATTTGATATTTTAGGAGGGGGTTCCTGAGGAGACAGATGACTTTGGGGAGTTTCGAATGAGGGTATCAGACCTGGTGAAAGACTTGATTTTCCTGATTGGGTCTATGGAGTGTTTTGCTCAGGTAAGCCCACTCGGAGATTCTCACCAGTTTTAATGATCACTTTAATTCTGTTCACTTCTGTGTCTTCTATAAATGTTCCATTTTTTTTCTTCAATCTCAATGGCTAAATAGGACAATAGATATGCAGGTGCCTAGCACACTGCCTGGCATATAGTAGCTATGTTTATTTACTATCTTACAAGCCAATTACAGTCTGTGGATGGTTCAGTTATAGTTTGCTCTGTGATGCTTGCTAATGAGAGCTGTTCTACTTGTCCAGCTGGAGTGGAAGATCATAGATAAACCTTAAAGCCCCAAGATACTTATAGGGAATTTGGACCTAGCCAGGAAAAATAGCAAGTTTGTCTGCTTTAATAATTATGTATCAACTCCTGGCAACTCTTTTAGTTATTTGGCATTGTCTTTTGTGCATACTTATGGTTAGGTTCCTGTGCAGTTTCATCCCAGAGGTGATTTTACTAGAGTAGAAGAATCATAGTCCTGTGGTTTTCCTCACAATCAGTGAGTAACACTTTACCTCATAAGATTGCGATCATCACCATTCCACATCACTTAACATTAGCATAAGTTCAGGTGGCTTTCATATTGCTTGATCACACTCTTAAGATCTGAAATAATACTTTTGATGCTTTGTCAGCAATACTGAACTAACCTAATATTTTTGTGACCCATACATTTTGTGTATTTTGGGGCATAATCTGATCTAGAAAGTGTTAATAAAACTATAACTATTTTTCTTTATATTAAGCAAAGCATGTTTATTGATCTAACTACAAAGGGTTGGGGGTTTTTAAAAAGGACTAAAATCCCTACATCACAGGCAGATGACCTGTGTTCAGATTTCAGTTCTCTCACTGGCTCCATGGTTTTGAGCAAGTTACTTATTCTTTTGTGTGTGTGTGTGTGTGTGTGTGTGTGTGTGTGTGTTTTAAATCCTTATCTGAGGACATGTTCACTGATTTGGGAGAGAGGAGAAAGGAGAGAGAGAGAGAGAGAGAGAGAGAGAGAGAGAGAGAGAGAGAGAGAGAGAGAGAGAGAGAGAGACATCGATAGGTTACCTCCAGTGCACACCTTGACAGGGGATCGAACCCGCTACCTAGGTACATGCCCTGACCTGGAATTGAACCCGCAACCTTTTCATTGTACAGGTTGACGCTCCAACTGAGCCATCTACCTGGGGCGGCCGGCCAGTTACTTATTCTTCTCCAGATCTCAGTTTACAAATTGGACATAAATCATCAGTGTTGTTCAAGATATTTTCTGTGGAATACCAGTCCCATGAGATATTCTTTGGCAAAAAAGGACCCATCATCAATTAAAATGGGGAAATTACTTAAATGATATATTAAAGGCTCTGTGAAGTCCTATAACAACAGTTTTGTCTTACCTAGCAGTGTCTTTTATTTGACTACAAAAATCTTATTTAGATTAACACCCAGTCACATTCCAGATGGATATACCCTGGGAAATTTCTGGACATCTCTGAATATTCTGCTTGGTCTCTCCCCACCCCCTCTTGTTTGGACATGGTATTGTGATAGGTGCCTTTAGACAGCTACTTTCTAGGAATTCAATCTGTACTACTAGTTTGATGTAATCAATAGAAATGTAAAGCCAGTGCATATATAGAGACTTTATATTGTGTCTCAATTTAAGTGTGTTTATGTATTTATCAGTTGTTATCAGGACCAGGAAAAGACACTCATTAATATGTTTTGTTTTTTCTATAATATTCATTCTGTGGGGGCAGACAGTAATCTTGGTATATCCTTGGGGTTTATTTTAAATATTAAATTACTAGTTACTTATAGATTAATAATTAGTGAAACTGTGAAAAATGAAAATCATATTCTTCCCTGGCTCAGAGAGATAATTAATTCAATTTAGAAATAAGGGCCTGGATTTATTGTAACTAACAGGGTTTTTGTTTTGTTTGTTTTGGAATTCTATTCTGTTTTCCTTTTAATGGATCCATAATCCACCTCTTCTTCTCTAGTTATATTCTACTCTGAAAGAAGGCAACCCACCCTGGGAGGTGACAGAAGCGGTTCTCTTTATCATGGCTGCTATAGCAAAGAGTGTTGATCCGTGAGTGTCTAATAAGTCTTTTGCTGGGAACTCTTATCAAAAGAAGGAAAATTACACCATTTTTCTCATGTGTTATATGTTTGGAAACTCTTAGAACGTCTTCTATAATTGCTGTCTAATCTTCTGACTTTGAGTCTAGTCCAGAGTCGTATGCATTGCTGATATCCAGGTTTTAACCACATTTCCCAGAGTTAAAATTATTTTGTTCTTGATGCTAAAATGCTGATTTATTTTTCTAACCGAGGTTCCTTAGTGAAAGTTGGTATAATCAAAAATACTATTCTCCTTTTTTTTGTCTTAGTCATTTGTGAGTTTCAGAGAGGCAAGGCATAGGTACCATTTTACCTAAAAGAGTAGCAAAATCTAAAATGCAATTATTTTTGTTATTGCTTAGCATAGAATTTCTATTTATGATTTTAACATGAATTCCTAAAAACAGATTACTTTGTGCTGTGAGTTTATAAATTGGTGTTAATATCTGTTTGGTTTTCTTGTATTAAGATCACATACCTCTACAGTTGAGTTCTCTATCCAAGGCCTTGGTTGGAGAGATGGTTAAGGCATGTATTTGTAAAAAGTACAGTGCTTCTTTTTTACTTGCCTTGCAGGGCCTAGTCAACTACATCTTATATTGTTTCTAATTCAGTAAATATTCAAGGACACAATATAGGTTTGTTTTTCTCTATTAAGAGGTTCTGATCCTGAATTACATTCTATTCTATTTGCTCTTAAACCTATTTTGGTGTCTTTTGCAACCTTCAGTGACAGCCTGAAGATTATTAAAAATCACTAATATTTTAACTGACACGTGTTGGTGTGAAAAAAGGTAAGAGTATCAGTAATTACCTTAGTGTCCCTGGGAAACATAAAGCATAAATGAGATAAGATTTTATTTTGTTTTTTATTTATCCACATCACAAGCCATCTGCATGAGTGTAATTTTTTAGTGTATATAAAGGACTTACTATCAGCAGGGAGTGCTCTTGCTCAAAATCATAATATTATTTACATTTTAAACATCTTTTATTTCTGGATTATGTTCTGCCACTTTGGAGGCATCCTCACTCTGCTTAAATAACTTTAGCTAACATTGGGGAGTGGGGGGGGAAAGATAAGAAAAAGGAAAAAATAAATCCATGGAGTTGTGGAAAGTACTTAGTTAACTTTATTTTCCTTTACCTGTTCCTGCAGCTTGTGTTCTTTTTGTTTGTTTGTTTATGTGATATATCATGTTTATTGATTAGCTAATATTGTACCAGCCTTGCATCCCTGGAATAAACCCCCCTTGGTCATGGTGTATGATCTTGTTAAAATATTGCTGGATCTGATTTGCTAATATTTTGTTGAGAGTTTTAGCATCTGTGTTCATCAGGGATATTGGCCTGTAATTATGTTTCTTAAGCTTGTATTCTTCTTGTTCCTTCAGTTAGTGAATTGGCCCACTCATGCTTAACTGTTCTTAAAGTTTCTAGTATCCAGCTATAAGAAATCTTTTGGAGAATAACAATTAATAAAAAGTGGTCTACAAGAAATATTCATTCATTTACTTAGCCATTCAGCAGTATTTATTGAGTGCCCACTATGTGCCAGGCACTGTTCTAGGTGCTGCAGATATAGGAATAAATAAAACAGATTCTTTAAATGAAGACATGCATCCATAGTAAATGCCTGCCTCTCTAGTTTGAAGAGCCTTATTTGGTAGCAGAATGTGTCTTTAGACACTGGCATTCAAAAGATTAAGGAGCAGTGTGCTTCTTCTGAAACAGTTATATCTTCCATTTCTTTCCCCCCCCCCCCCCCCTTTTCTTAGGATTTAAAAACCTTTCATCTCAGGTGTTAATTACTTTTATCCAAATGGTTAATTATTTAGAAAGAAGCCCTTTAGCAATGATTTGTATCATTGCAGCCTGTTTCTTGGCCAAAACCTAATCTCTGAAATCAGTAACTCTGAGTGCTTGCTTTCTGTACTCAGGGAGAACAATCCAACGCTTGTGGAGGTCCTAGAAGGAGTTGTCCGTCTCCCAGAGACTGTACATACAGCTGTGCGATACACCAGCATTGAATTGGTTGGAGAGATGAGCGAAGTGGTTGACCGAAATCCTCATTTCCTTGGTATGTGTGAATTCTCCCCTCAGCCCCTGCTGCATCTGATTTTTCTGATTTTCTTCCTTTCTCTTCTGTTTGCTCTTGTTTTATTGCTTTCTCATATTGCTAGGTAGAATGTTTCTAGGCACTGAAAGTAAATATTTTATGAGTTATTCCTTAGTTGACTTGCTTTATAGAAATTCACCTTTATAATCCATTTTCTTGGAACACTTATATTTTGTAAAAAATGGAACATGAATTAATTCTTCCAGAAGTGCTAAAGATCCATCTGCATGTTTTAAGGCCCTTTATAACTATAAAGAAGCGAGTATAAAAGTGTCAGTTTTAGATAACTATCATTGTTCTTATTAATGTCGGCTATTTTTACAAAGTGATTTACCTGTGAGTATAATGGTAGCTCTCTGAGCTTTACATTCTTTCTTATATTCTTAACTAGAGGCCTGGTGCACAGATTTGTGCACCGGTGGGGTCCCTCGGCCTGGCCTATGGGGACTGGGCTGAAACCAGCTCTCTGACATCTCCCAAGGGGTCCCGGATTGTGAGAGGGCACAGGCCAAGCTGAGGGACCCCCACTGGTGCACATATAAGATCTTCGGTCAATCTCTTTCTGCCCTCTTCCCTTCCCTGCTCCCTCTGCGATTCATCAGTCTATTCCATGTTTCCATGCCTGTGGTTTCCACTCCTGTGTTGAGCGTCTACCCCCTGGTGGTCAGTGCGCATCATAGCTACTAGTCCACCAGTTGGCCAGTTGCTTAGGCTTTTATATATATAGATCCTTGGATGGTCATATCCACCAGTGGTTTTTAAACTGTGCTCTGTGAAGCACTAGCAACAAGAAGCAATTAATTGTCCATGAGGAAAGAGATGGGAAGATGACTAAGACTCAGGGCTTCCAGACACTGTGTCAGTGAGATCAGCTCTATTTTTATGTTTTATGTATTGGGGTTTGAACATGTCTAATTTTTAAAAATGGTTCTTTTGCTTTAAAAAAAAGAGAGAATGTAAACATCTATTATAGTAAACAAGACGTTTTCCTTGAGTTTCAAATATGTAAACTTCACTGTATGGCTTTTTTCCTTAGACCCTGTATTGGGCTATTTGATGAAAGGCCTGTGTGAAAAGCCTCTAGCTTCTGCTGCAGCCAAAGCCATTCATAACATTTGTTCTGTCTGCCGAGACCACATGGCTCAGCACTTTAATGGACTCCTGGAGATTGCCCGTTCCCTCGATTCCTTCATGTTGTCTCCGGAAGCTGCTGTGGGCTTGTTGAAAGGTATTTACTTACGATATTAACCAGAAGCAGTCTCTTCTAAGCCACTTCTGGGGGTTATCGTTCATAGTCATATCCTGGTTTTTCAGTACCAGTTTACTTAGTGATGGGGGAAAGTGGCTTTTCCATTCAGAGGTAAGGGTGTTGATTATGTGTACATACATATGTGTACAAATGGCCATGAAGAGTCCTGGTCCCTTAATGTTCTTTAACCATTACTGATCAGCTTACACTGAGTGATTGCCTATCTGGAGGCAAACAGCCAGAGTGATGATGAAGCTCAGAGTAATAGAACTAGAGATATTATGGCTAGGGAAGAAAAGACTTAGAAGAGACTTTAAACATGATGGCTGTTTTTAAATATTTGAAAGATTGTTATGAAAGCACGAACATTTATTCTATGAGTGATTAACTTTGACAGTTTATTGACTCTTAGAAAGAAAATGCTTTCTAACTAAACTTTCTGAAAACAAATGACTCTGAGGTAGTGAAATCCTTACAACTGGTAGTTGAGAAGGTATGGGAGTATATCAAATACAAAATTGGGTAATAGGAACTGTACAGCATTTTTTAAGCCAATGTGAGTGGCAAACAGTCTGGCAATATTGGATGACCTTATGTGTGAGCTAGCTCTGTCCTTTCTCACCTCTGTGACTAGGTTCCTTACCAGCCAATATGCTTGCGTTGTTTTAAAGACAGATTTTGTAGCATGGGTTTTTGCTGTTTCCCTTTATAGGCATAGATAATAAGATATTAAATCAGAGTCATATATTCTTCATAACTACTGCTGTGGTTATTGTTGCTATCTTGTCATTTTCTAGAAAGATTTAACCTTTATGCTGAAGTGACATCTGACCTATAATAGAATGTGGTATCCCAGTTTTCAGTGGTATTCTTGTCTAGACATAGAAAACTGTTTTTAGTTACAATCTGTTCTGTAGGAATGAATTAAAAGAAACAATTATATTTAAGTTAGATTTTCATCTAAAATCTAATTTTAAACAAAAGTCTATATATCCATGGCTAATAGCCTGTTAGGAAGAGTCATTCCATTTTTTATTCTCATTTGAAGATTTATGGATTGATTAGAGGCCCAGTGCACGAATTTGTGCACCAGTGGGGTCCCTTGGGATCAGGCCCAAACCGGCTCGTCGACATCCCCTGAGGGGTCCCGGATTTTGAGAGGGTGCAGGCCAGGCTGAGGAACCCCACTGGTGCACAATTGGGGCCAGGGAAGGACGCGGGAGGTTGGCCAGGTCGGGAGGGACCGCAGGAGGGCTCCAGGGCGTGTCCAGCCCATCTTGCTCAGTCCCGATTGGCTGGACCCCAGCAGCAAGCTAACCTACTGGTCAGAGCGTCTGTCCCCTGATGGTCAGTGCACGTCATAGCGAGCAGTTGAGTGGCCTTAGCACATCATTAGCATATTACACTTTGATTGGTTGAACGGACGACCAGATAACCAGACACTTAGCATATTAGGCTTTTATTATATAGGATTACTGTTTTGTTGAATGAAATTTTAGAAGATGAGAGATAGTCAAGGAATTTGGGCCTCGAAGGGACATTGTCTAACACATCATCCTTTGAGTTTGGGGGGTGATGCTTTCGCAGTTGATGGACATTGTGAAAAGAGGGAGGCCAAGTCTCCACTTTAACCTTAAACTACCTCCTTTTTTTTCTTTTCAAATCTATCTTATTAGAGCTCCAAATTAAGATTTCATTTGGGGAAAAGGTAAGGAAAGGGGCTTTTGCAACTATTTTAAAACAACAAAAGAGGCAGGCTTAACTACTACTATTCTGTTCAAAGCACTCATTTTATAGATAAAGAAATTGATGCCCAGCAAGAATGCTTTAACCCCGTTCATAGATTCTGTTATGGTAGAAAAGAATTAAATCTCTAATTTCAGCCCATTCTTGTAAAAAATATATTATTTTTATTTCTTCAATTTCTCTGATGATAAAAATTGCCTACGGTACTTATCAGAAACAAAGGTTTTCTATGACCTACTAAATCAGAGTCTCTGGGAAGTTTGAGAGCTATTGTACTGTGCTATATAAAAATAGCTTTGGATCCTACCAGTGTTGCTCAGTGGTTGAGTGTTGACCATGAACCAGGAGGTCAGGGTTCGATTCCTGGTCAGGGCACGTGCCTGGGTTGCTGACTTGATCCCCAGTAAGGGGCATGCAGGAGGCAACTGATCAATGATTTTCTCTCATCATTGATGTTCCTCTCTCTCCCTCTTCCTTCCTCTGAAATCAATAAAAAAATATTTAAAAAAAAATAGCTTTGGTATTGGTTTTGTGGAGGAGATTTTAAGTCTTTAAGGAATTGGAAGGGGAGATAAATTTAAACATTTTTAAACCAGTAGGCTGCTATAAAGAAAAACTGACCATCAGTAATAAACTATTGCAATTTATAAAAACAGTGCTGATCTTTTTGAAAGAAGAGGACCAATCAGCCTTTTCTGTTAACTACATGCTGTAGACCAATGAATAACCTCAATTCAACGTTTATTTTCTTCATCTGTATCTTCCTTTGTCTCTCAGGGACAGCACTTGTTCTAGCCAGATTACCGTTGGAGAAGATTACTGAATGTCTTAGTGAACTATGTTCTGTTCAGGTTATGGCATTGAAAAAGGTGAGTTCGTTTAAGTAAGGGGGTGTGAAACAAATTAACATATTTACATGTTAGAAAGGAAAAGTCAAAATTATTTATTTACATGTGATCTTTTATCTATGTAGAAAAGCCAAAAGAATGAACTGAAAAATTTTCTTTTTCTTTCTTTTTTTTAATGAACTGAGTTTTTAAAATTAATAAGTCTATTGAAGTAGCTGCATGCACAGAAGAAGTATTTAAAAATCAATAGATTTTCACTAATGTCAGTAATACCATTTAGAAGATGTAATGGGACAAATACCATTCAAGTTAGCAATCAAAACCATAACCTACCAAGTTTCCTCGAAGAATATGTAAAGATGGCAGTTCTTCTCAAATTACATGTACTAGTATAGTGCAATAACAGCGAACATGCTGATAGGATTTTTAGGAGAACATGACAAAATGATTCTGAAGTTCACCCCTAATGATATAATGGTGGAAATTTTAGGAAAGAAGAATAAGGGGCAACTTGCCTTATCTCTTAAAATATAAAGCTAAAAATAAAAAAAAAGAAAGAAAGAAAAACCAAAAAAAATATATAAAGCTAAAGTGGAATGTGAATATAATATAGATTACATAATACATAATAATCATATATAAACTATATTTTAATATATAATTTCTGTAATGTCTCAATCATAATACAAATAAATGGAAAAAATTAAATTATGTTTTCTCTTCCACAATGAATATATATTAAAATGTTAGTAATATATAGTCTTGGCCAGGATGCAGTGATATGGAAGAAAGTAATTTGACAATATGAATTAAAAGTTTGCACCATTTAAGTAACTTTACAGAAATAGACAGAGATTGAGACAGAGGTTGATGTGTAAGGGTGTATGTTGCAGTGTTTGCTGTAGGTTTGTATGTGTAATGACTGTTAATGTCTGTCTCTTCAGCTGTTGTCTCAGGAGCCCAGCAATGGTATATCCTCAGATCCCACTGTGTTCTTAGATCGTCTTGCAGTAATATTTAGGTAAGAAGTGAGATTCTAGATGTTTGTCTTGGGTTAAAAGCATAAATGAGACCCTTGTGTATTGAAGTAAGCTAGTGGTTGTTTTGTTTCCCTATAATCTCCTTTGTCAGGATACTTAATTAAGATCATTGCCTGAAGTCTTGGGCAAAGGCAAATTCTAAGAACTTGTTCTTGGTGGACCTTTGTCAAAAGACTCTTTAAAAACTGTATGGATGGATGTACTTTATTGAACCAATCCCCTACTGATGGACATTAGGTTGTTTCAACTTAATCTACAAACCTCACACACATCATTGTACATGTGCAAGAGTATCGACAAAGGATAATTCATAAAAATCACAGTTAAAGGATATTTACCTTCATAATTTTGGTGATTTTATGAAAATGCCCACAATAGAACTTGTACCTATCCTGTACTCCCACCCACTATGTCGGATAATTTTACATCAGAGAAATATGATATGAAAGGTAGAAAGCACTATGTAAAATTAGGTTGCTACCCCCTCAGCTATAGTTTCATTATCCCTAAGGAATCAAAGACTTCATGGAGGAAAAAAACTTCATTTCCTTCTGAGCCACTAAGATAAGTGCACCCAAATCAGTTAGAAGCAAAATTCCTAAAATGGACGCTCAGCACCCAGGAGCTGGTGATGTCAGCACTCGCAGAGCAGGGCAATGAGGACTGAGGCTTCCAACTTGCAGTGACCTTGGGTGATGGCAGGCCCCATTGTGAAGCACAGTCATGGGTGCTGAAGTCATGGGTCTCGGTTGGTGGGGTCCCACTCGAGAGTCCACCTGAAAGGCCACTGTGGGCAATGGCCTGGGAGAAACTGGGAACCTCCGTGGATTTTCTCCACAGGATAGGGTTTCCGAGTCCCAGGCAGGGAAGACAGGGTCGCATGTCCCTTGGGGAGACTCATAGTCTGCCCTTCCCACCTGACCTTCCCCAGTCTGCTCACTCTGGGTCCATGGGTCATATGACATGGTCCAGGGAGGGAAAGGGTGTCAAAAGACCCTTTAAAATGTAATTAATTCTGGTCTCTAGATCAGTGATTCTCAAACTTTAACATGCTTCAGAGTCACCTGTAGGACTTATCAAAACACAGATTGCTGGGTTCCATCCCTGATTGTCTGATTGATTGGGTCTTGGGTAGAACCTAAGAATTTACATCCTATATAATAATCCTATCTAATAAAAGAGAAACATGGCCGAAACCGGTTTGGCTCAGTGGATAGAGCGTCGGCTTGCGGACTGAAAGGTCCCAGGTTCTATTGCGGTCAAGGGCATGTACCTGGGTTGCGGGCACATCCCCAGTAGGAGATGTGCAGGAGGCAGCTGATCGATGTTTCTCTCTCATCGATGTTTCTAACTCTCTATCTCTCTCCCGTCCTCTCTGTAAAAAATCAATAAAATATATAAAAAAAAAAAAGAGAGAGAGAAACATGGTAATTAGCGTACGTCCGCTACCCTTCCCATTGGCTAATCAGTGAGATATGCAAATTAACTGTCAGCCAAGATGGCGGCCGGCAGCCAGGCAGCTTGAAACTAACATGAGGCTTGCTTGCTTCAGTGACGGAGGAATCCAACATTCCCCGCCTGCCTTGCCGGCCTCTGAACTTGCCGTTTGAAACATTGTTACAAATATGGAAGCTAAACAAAACCCCAGAAACCTGCTTTCAGCCCGCCGGGATCTCAGAGCTGGAGTTGATACAGTGTTTTGATAATAGAACCCAAACAAACCAGATATCTGCTTTCAGCAGCAGAGGCCTCAGAGCTGGAGCCAGAGCTAAAGCTGGCCCATAATAAAAAAAGAAAAAAGAGAAAAAGGAGCGGTTGGGAGCTTCAGTCACCCACCAGCCTGAAAACAGCCCTCAGCCCCTCACCCAGGCTGGCCAGGCACCCCAGTGGGGACCCCCACCCTGAAGGGTGTGTGACCAGCTGCAAACAGCCATCATCCCCTCACCCAGGCTGGCCAGGAACCCCAGTTAGGACCCCCACCTTGATCCAGGACACCCTTCAGGGCAAACCAGCCGGCCCCCACCCATGCACCAGGCCTCTATCCTATACAGTAAAAGGGTAATATGCCTCCCAGCACCGGGATCAGCGGAGCTGAGAGGCCTCCCGGCACTGGGATCAGTGTGACAGGGGGCGGGGCAACAACCTCCCTGTCCGCCCTGCTCTGTTCGTGACATGGGAAGGCGCCCCAACTCCCTGATCAGCCCTGCTCTGTGCCTGATAGGGGGGAGCTCCCCAACCCCCTGATCGCCCTGCAGCTCTGTGTGTGACAGGGTGCGGCACCCCAACCTCCCCCCCCCCCCCCCACGGGCCCTGTTCTGTGTGTGACGGGGTAGAGCCATAACCTCCTCATCGGCCCTGCCCTGAGTGTGAGAGTGGCGGTGCCCCAACCCCCTGGTCGGCCCTGCTCTGTGGGTGATAGAGGGCGGCTCTCCAACCCCCTGATGGGCCCTGCTCTGTGCGTGACAGGGGGCAGTGCCCCAACCCCCTGATTGGCCCTGCTCTGTGCGTGACAGGGGGTGGCGCCGCAACCTCCCCATCAACCCTGCCTTGGGTGTGACAGGGGACAGTGCCCCAACCCCTCAATCGGCCCTACCCTGAGCGTGACTGAGGGTGGCATCGCAACCTCCCTATCCGCCCTGCTCTGTACATGACGAGGCGGTGCCCCAACTCCCCAATCGACCCTGCTCTGAGCCCGACCAGAGGCTGCACCTAGGGATTGGGCCTGCCCTCTGCCACCCAGGAGCAGGCCTAAGCCAGCAGGTCGTTATCTCCCGAGGGGTCCCAGACTGCGAGAGGGCACAGGCCGGGCTGAGGGCCCCGCCCCGAGTGCACAAATTTTTGTGCACCGGGCCTCTAGTCCTATATAATAAAAGGCTAATATGCAAATAGACACAATGGTAGAACCACCAGTCGCTATGACGCACACTGACCACCAGGGGGCAGATGCTCAATGCAGGAGCTGCCCCCTGGTGGTCAGTGTGGTCCCAGAAGGGGAGCGCCACTCAGCCAAAAGCTGGACTCACAGCTGGCGAGTGCAGCAGCCGTCCGCAGCAGCACTAAGGATGTCTGACTGCAGCTTAGGCCCGCTCCCTGTGGTGAGTGGGCGTAAGCTGTCAGTTGAACATCCCCCGAGGGCTCCTGGATTGCAAATGGGCACAGGCTGGGCTGAAGGACCCTACCCCTACTCCCCAAGTGCACAAATGTCATGCACCAGGCCGCTAGTATTTAATAAATTCCCAGATGCTGCTGCTTACTACTCCAAGGACCACACATACTTTTAGACGCATTGTGAAACTGTGGGTACAAAACAATAATAAAGTCTCTCTAGTAACCTGATGAAATTAATCCTTCTTTGAAATCAAGAGGAGCCTAATGATTAAAAAAGTATTCGAGTGACAATGTTCAAAGAGTGATGCTTACTGAGTTTCATAATTTATATGTGAGGCCCATAGGTATAACTGGAATAGTAGAGTAATAGTTGCATAAAAGCCTATGTGGAATAAGTTAAAATAGGCATTGTAAGGGCCAGAAGGTTGAGAACCACTGTGAATCTAGTGGAAGTTGCTTAAAGGTGGCAATAAATAATAGGATAATTTAAGACTATTTGCTTGTGTTTGTTTGAATGCAGTAGAGCAGTGATTCTCAACCTTCCTAATGCTGCGACCCTTTAATACAGTTCCTCATGTTGTGGTGACCCCCAACCATAAAATTATTTTCGTTGCTACTTCATAACTGTAATTTTGCTACTGTTATGCATCGTAATGTAAATATCTGATATGCAGGATGTATTTTCATTGTTACAAATTGAACATAATTAAAGCATAGTGATGAATCACAAAAACAATATGTAATTATATGTGTGTTTTCCGATGGTCTTAGGTGACCCCTGTGAAAGGGTCGTTCAACCCCCAAAGGGGTCGGGACCCACAGGTTGAGAACCACTGCAATAGAGGAAATGGTTTTGAGTCCTAAAAATAAGTTTGCTATCTGTTTTGTTTTGTTTTTGTTCTTGTTGTTTTTGTGAGATGATACTAAGTACACTAACCAGGGACAGGGCTCTGGGTCCTCAGTGAAATTGTTCTTCTTTCACTAATTTGGGCTATTTGTCTTTCTGCAGACACACTAATCCCATTGTGGAAAATGGACAGACTCATCCGTGCCAAAAAGTCATTCAAGAAGTAAGTGTTAACAAATGTCTGTGGTACAAGACTTCTTCCTTTTTCCTTGCAATGCTGTGGGTAACTAGAATGAGAAGGTACTTTCTTCTAGGTTCATAGGAAGTTTTAATTTGCTGATACAGATTAAATACCATTGAAAAGAGGAATGGAACCATACAAATAAATAATTTTGATTTTAGATTTTTTTAAAGAAAATAGGCTATGGGAAAATTCATTGAAAGGCCAAAGAAGTGGGAGAGATTGTGTGAATCCTAGAGTTGCTAGGAGGCCTGGTTAATACTAGCAACATTTTTTTTGACAAAGCCAATTAAACCTTCATTGCTTTAGCTTTCCTATTGATAACATATTTCCCTTATGCTTTTTTCACTGAGAGTAATGTGAGGATCAAAAAGTATGCTTTGAAAAGTGCTTTAAAGTCTATGGCCATACCACCCTGAATACACCCAATCTCATCTGATCTCGGAAGCTAAGCAGGGTTGGGCCTAGATGGGAGAAGTGCTTGTTTTTCAGACTACAGGACAGTGGGTACACCAAATGTTCTTAGGTGTTCAACAGTATCAAATAATGCTATTTCCTTTACTCTAGTCCTTTTGTTTAGGGTCTTCCAACTTTTTGGAACTGCCTTTAAACATTTCTTCCTCTGTAACTTGTACTATTTCTTTCCACCCTAAATTAGGAAGTTCAAAGTTTAGGAAAATGCATATCTTTGTCTTCTAGTAAAGTCAGACATACTCCCCTTCCTGTTCTGAAGAGTCATTGTGCTTCTCTTAAGAAGCAGTTGTGTTTTAGTGATGAATAGTATGTTGAATCTCCACACATGTATACACACACACACACATATATATACTGGTCAAAATCAGGCCATGTGTGTTTCTTATAATGAAAGCTTTTTCCAAATTATTTGAAAGCCAAATATAATGTTACCAACTTGAAAGCATTTTTTTTTTTCAGCTCTTTCTTTCTTGTGCTTTTTCACTTTTGACTCAGATATGGCCAGTTTTATCTGAGACTTTAAATAAGCATCGGGCCGATAATCGGATTGTAGAGCGTTGTTGCAGATGCCTTCGCTTTGCTGTTCGCTGTGTAGGCAAAGGATCTGCAGCCCTGCTGCAGCCACTAGTCACACAGGTAAGTTCCCTTCGAGAGGGAAAATGTAAACTGTACAGAGTTTGAAATAGGAGCCTTTGGAACAAAAACTCTGGTGATGAAACACTTTTGTATTAATTAAATATGAAAAAAAATTCTTTGAAAGAGGTTAAATAGTGCCTGTGGTAGGTATGTTGTCTGTAATCTTATCTGTATAGTGAAGTCTAATTAGCAATACATTCCAATGTGAAATTAGGAAAAGAGAATGACTTTAATGTTCAGCTCTTGTATACCAGTGCTAAATATTTTTACATTAATTTCCTTTTTTTAAATGTGGTAAGTCAAACTTTGCTATTTCTTGGCCCAAATGGATTTTTAACTATATTGAACACAGTTCACATAAGTTTCTTATTTGTCAAGGTATAAATTTGACTCTTAATGACCAAGATTGATATGTTATTAAGATGGTATGTATGACTCACTACATGAAGCTCTCTAAGATTATACCTAGAACTACTCTCTATGAGACATCTGTGACTAGTGACTTAGTTCACTAAGTAATTTGTGTTGATGTTAACCGCATAGCAGGGCCAGAAATAGGTTGAGGCAAGTGAGGTTCTATGTGCACAAAATTGAGGGAGGCCAGGCCAGTGCCAATCCTGCATTTGTAGGACTCTTAAGCAAGTGCCTTCTTAAATTTTGCACTCATGCTGTGAGGAAAACTGCTAGACAACCCACCCAACCTAAAGCGACTCTCCTCCACCTGGACAGGGTACAGACAGTGCAGATTTTAAGGTGGCACACGCTCAGGAGCTGACCCTGACAGTAAGTGCCACCTTAAATTCTGTACCCTGGTACTTCACTCTTAAGGAAGCACCCTCAGCTAGGGTCATGCTAGTGCAGTGTCAGTTAACACTTGCATGAACTCGCCTCCTTAAATTGTAGATTTGATTAAAGTTTGTACAGGTACATATTTTAATAGAATTTTAATATTAGTGATTTTCTATACTCTAAGTACAACAGTATATGTTTGCATTTAGGCTGTGTCCACCTCTAGTTAAGAGTCCCAGTTGGTGTAATACTTTCTAAGATAACTTGGTTTTAAAGTCCCTTTGCTGTTGGAGGATATCTCATGACTTTGATACTGTTTTTTTTATTCCTGTTAATTAAGTATGTGACCAACCAATAGAGTAGGGCAGGACCTTACATAGGAAGTGTGTTCTAAAGTCAGTACATGTGATAGAAATGAAAATTATTCTTAAAAGTCCCGTAAACAAGAGGTAAGTAAACTAGAGCTGATGGTCCTGTAGTTTGTAAATGAAGTTTTACTGAGTGATTGCCATGCTTATTCATTTAAGTATTATTTATTGGCCATTTTTGTGCTACAGTGGCAAAGTTGATAGTCAGAAGATTGTATGACTGGCAAAGCCTAAATTATTTACTATCTGGCCCTTTAAGACAATTTGCCAACCCCTGACTTAAATCATTATTCATTAAGTAGAGCATATATTTTTTGAGTAAACAGCACTGAACAGATTCATAGTTCTCATCTCATGCTCATTCCATGGTATATGCTGATAAGAGTCAGTTACTCTATCCTTCAGCCCCCACTACTTTTATAAAATAGAATTTTTATAGGATCAATGCATGGGTGTTGTGATGGCATTTCCAATAGATGAATGTATAAATAGATGCCTCTTGATTTTTGGAGGAAAGTAGGATAAAAATCCTAAACAAATCATTTAATTTAAATGTGTGTATTATATTGAATTTCTATTCTTTTGAGACAGATACTTTAATTGTAAATACTGTTTTTTACTTAGAAGATGAAATAAAGGAGTTTAGGAGAAACTCAAAATTGAAATAATGCTTTCACAGCCTCCAAGATGAGGGCATCCTATCTAATAAAAGAGAAACATGCAAATTGACCATAACCCCGACACCCTTCCCATTGGCTAATCAGCAGGATATGCAAATTAACTGCCAACTAAGATGGCGGCCGGCAGCCATGCAGCTGAAGCAAACAGGAGGCTTGCTTGCTCCAGTGACGGAGGAAGCCAACGTTCCCGGCCTGCCGCTGCCAGCCTCTGAGCTGCAATCTAGGCAACTATGTTGCAATTATAGAAGCTAAACAAGCTCCAGAGACCTGCTTTCAGCCAGCTTCGGCCTTAGAGCTTAGAGCTGCTATGATGGCAACAGAGTTTCAATTATAGAAGCCAAACAGACCCAGAAACCTGCTTTCATCCCTCAGAGCTGGAGCCGGATCTCAGCTCCAATGACAGCTATAGAAGGTAAATAAATCCCAGAATTAAAAAAAGAAAAAAAGGAGAGGCTGGGAGCTTAAGTTGCCCTCCAGCCTGAAAATGGCTCTCAGGCCCTCACCCAGACTGGCCAGGCACCCCAGTGGGGACCCCCACCCTGAAGGGGGTGTGACCAGCTGTAAACAACCTTCAGTCCATCATCCAGGCTGGCCAGGCACCCAAGCGGGACCCCCAACCTGATCCGGGACACTTTCAGGGCAAACCAGCTGGCCCCCACCCGTGCCCCAGGCCTCTATCCTATACTACAGGCAGGGAGGGACAGCATGAGCCTCTATCTGGGCCCCATGTGCAGCCCTGCCTGGGCAGCGGGGCATAAGCCCGGGCCCCAGCCGGGACCCCTGTGTGCCACTGGGCCCTGGGTCGCTGTGGTGATCCGGCCATCGGTAAGTAGAAAAGTGCAGCCTGCGGGCAGCCCCCAGTTGCGCCTTCTCCCCGGTTGCCAATAGGATCCAGGAGTAGGAAAGCAAGCCTGGCCTGCGGGCAGCCCCAAACTTTGCCTGCTCCCCAGTTGCCGTGGTGATCCGGGAGCAGGAAAGCAAGCCTGGCCTGAGGGCAGCTCCTAGCTATGCCTGATCCGGGAGCAGGAAAGCAAGCCCGGCCTGCGGGCAACCCCCAGCTGCGCCTTCTCCCCGGTCACCATGAGGATCCGGGAGCAGGAAAGCAAGCCTGGCCTGCGGGAAGCCCCAAACTTTCCCTGCTCCCCGGTCACCATGGTGATCCGGGAGCAGGAAAGCAAGGCTGGCCTGTGGGCAGCCCTAAGCTGGGCCTGATACGGGAGCAGGAAAGCCCGGCTTGCGGGCAGCCCCCAGCTGGCCCTGCTCTCCGGTTGCCATGGGGATCCAGGAGCAGGAGAGCAAGCCCAGACTGCGGGCAGCTCCAAGCTGGGCCTGCTCCCCGGTCGCCATGGCGATCCGGGAGCGGGAAAGCCCGGTTTGCAAGCAGCACCCCCATCCTGGCCATAGCTCAAGGGAGAGTACAACATGCAGTGGAGGCCAGCAGCCTGAGAGATCAACACAGAGGGGCTCCTGCTCCAAGCCTCCATGGTGTGGCTGGGGGCAGGCCCCCAGCAGACACACACACACACACACACACACACACACACACACACACACACACACTGCCTGCTCTGAGCCTCCAATGTGACTGGGGGCAGACCCCCAGTGGGGACACGGACACACACACACACACGGGACGCCTGCTCCAAGCCTCTGCTGCCAGACTGTGGCCATCAGTAGGACATCCACTGAGGGCTCCCGGACTGTGAGAGGGGCAAGCTGGGCTGAGGGCCCCCCCCCCCCCGTGCATGAATTTCGTGCACCGGGCCTCTAGTTTTATATAATAAAAGGCAAATATGCAAATCAACCAAACCAGAATGACCAGTTGCTATGATGTGCACTGACCACCAGGGGGCAGATGCTCAATGCAGGAGCTGCCCCCTGGTGGTCAGTGCACTCCCACAGGGGGAGCACCGCTCAGCCAGAAGCCAGGCTCACGGCTGGCCAATGCAGTGGCGGTGGCGGGAGCCTCTCCCACCTCTGCAGCAGCGATAAGCTGTCAGTGGATATCCCCCGAGGGCTCCCGGACTGCAAGAGGGTGCAGGCTGGCATGAGGGACCCCCCTTGTCTCCCCCCGCCCCACCCCTGTACGAATTTCGTGCACCGGGCCTCCAGTTTGGTATATTTGTCCCTGCTACAACTCTACTAATTATTTGTAAGTGTTTTTTTAATGCCTATAGAAGCAACTATTAGATGTTAGAAAATTTGAGTGTGCTATGCTATGGTTTTATAAACATTATACAAGCCTTGGATAAAATAGTTCTTTAATGTCTTTCAGCTTGAAGTATTATGCAACATGCTTTCCTATGTTGTGTGAAAGAGAAGGGACTAGTCTCTCTGTAAATGTCTTCCTCCAAACAGCTTTCTAAGTTGATACTTATTGAGGGGTATCAACCTCAATAAGAGGTTTAATTAATTGGTTTTACCCTTGGCAGATGGTGAATGTGTACCATGTACATCAGCATTCCTGTTTCCTGTACCTTGGCAGTATCCTTGTGGATGAGTATGGCATGGAAGAGGGCTGTCGGCAAGGATTACTAGACATGCTTCAGGTATGTTTTCTTTGGGGAATATAGATGTATTGGTTCTTTGATGGTCTAAAGGCCTAGCAGTGTGTTCTTTACCATGTCTTTAATTCTGTTGCTTCTTTATGTTTCCACCCCAGGCATGTTGATTTCCTAATAACAGGGAGATAGAAACTTCCTAGTTCTCTGGACAGGCCTGCTTGGGAGAAAGAAAGATTGACTACACAAATGTAATGATCATTACTGCCTAATTATGCACTCCAGAGATAGGGTTTTTTTGGGGAGTGGGGAGGTGGGCAACTGGATTTAAATTCTTCCCTGGAACAGCCAGTGAACAAGCTTACTCAGCAGGGATGGTCTTAGGGTAAATAGCAGACATTGGAAAAGGTTTCTGATATACTGCCCCCCGCCCCCTCTAGTCATGGGGTGGACGATGGGTGGGAATATATTAGGGAGTTAAATTATGATACTCCTTTTCCTCAAGATATCTTTCCCTTTAAAACTTCATCTACTACTGTTAAAACTTCATCTACTCCCTTAGCAGACTGACCATGTTTAGCACATAAGCAGTCTTTAATTTCAGAAACTTCTAAAGCTTTGAAATGACATCTATCCACCTTCATCAACTAAAATCTATACCACCAATCCTTTCTGAAATGTGGCTTTCATTTGTGAAAACTGTTTATGTTAACTGAGAGAGATTTCCATCTTCCTTTTCTTGATCTTATTTTTGTCACAGTCTTTTGTGCTTTTCCCCTTTATTCCTTTTGTATGTGTTGTGATATTTAGCAAGTCTGAATGCTGTGGCATTTATATACAAGTATTTGATTTAAAATCACTTCTGTTTTAGGCACTGTGCATCCCCACCTTTCAGCTCCTAGAACAGCAAAATGGTCTGCAGAATCACCCTGACACCGTGGATGACCTGTTCAGGCTAGCCACCAGGTTAGTTCTTCCAAAGAGCAACCCTTTCTTTTATTGTTCATTCCCATCACTGCTTAGACTTGTCACCTAACACTTGACTGTGTCCTTCTCTGTGAAATGAGTTAAGTGAAGTAGGTAGATTAATCATTCATAACCCAAAGTTATATTTTGAGCCAGATTGTCCCCATAAGTGAGGAAAAGGAATTGGATGGGAGCTGGGGAAAGTGGCTAAGTTCCTGTCATGAAGGAGGAAACACATGCAGGACAGTAAAATTGTGCTTGGAAAAACATTTGACTAGATAATCTCTAAAATCCCTTGTGGTTTTAACGTTGTATGCTGCTACGATATCAGGCTTCACCTCAAATTTTTCCTTGAGTAGATATAATTATATTTCAGAAAAAATTCTTAGGATTTTAAGGTGCTTAGAAGTTATCTGGTGTTACACTTCCTAGCTCTGCCCCTAGCCTGCCACCTCATCTAGTGCTTAAATTCCTTTTACCAGTAACACTGATGTTATTGTCAAATCTTTGAGTTCCTTCTTAGTCCCTCACTAAGGAATTTTAATCAAACCAGTTAGTGAACAGAAAAGCTTTTTTTAAGAAATAAACCATTATTAAATGTAGATGTTAGTTTTTGGACAAGTTAGAAAAATGTGTGGGGTGTTTTTTCCCCCCCAGTTTATATGGGTGGGTTGTCAACCTCTGTTTTCCCAGGACATATTCCTTGAAAAACTAATTCCTAGAGATATTCTTTGTACAAATGGTTGCCTGGTGAAAAGAAGTTGGAAAAACATTGTGTTTTTCTTGGAGATTCTCCATTACATTAAAGGATCTGAGAAACCTTGTGGAAAATTGAATGGAAAGTAATAGAGTTTCTATATCCTTCCTGCTTCCCCCACCCCCACCATGTATAATGACATGTATCCATCATTATAGTATTGTACAGAACAGTTTTAGTACCCTAAAAATCCTCTGTGCTCCACCTATATGTCCCTTCCTCCTCTTCAAACCTAGCAACCACTGATCTTTTTACTTTCTCTCCATAGTTTTGTCTTTTACCCTGGCTGCTTTTATAGCCTTTTCCTGTCATTTATACCCAGCATGTCTTTCCACACCAGGTTTATTCAGCGTAGCCCTGTTACCTTGCTGAGGAGCCAGGTGGTCATCCCTATCTTACAGTGGGCCATTGCCTCTACTACCCTGGACCACCGGGATGCCAACTGTAGTGTCATGAGGTTCCTACGAGACCTCATTCATACAGGGGTAGCCAATGATGTAAGTATAATCATTGTAACTTTTCTACTTTGCAGCTCATTATCTTCTCATATTGCTTCCTCATTTCCTTAGGCATATCTGTCTTATAATGCTGACTTGGTGGTGATGTACTTCTTTAGCCTTGTCTTTTTTTGTTGTTGTTTGTTTGTTTTTGTCTGGGAAGCTATTGATTTCACTGTCTATTTTGAATGATAGCCTTGCTGGATGTAGTAATCTGGTTTCAGATCCTTGTTTTCTATTACCTTGAGTACTTTATACCATTCCCTTCTGGCCTGTAGAGTTTCTGATGAGAAATCAGGTGTCTGCCCTATGAGAGTTCCTTTGTAGGTAACAGTTTGCTTTTCTCTTGCTGCCTTTAAGATTCCGTCTTTAATTTTTGGCATTTTAATTATGATGTGTCTGGGCTTGGGCCTGTTTGGGTTCTTCTTGCTTGAGATTGAGACTCTCTGTGCCCCCCGAACTTGTGTGAATTTTCCCTTCACCTGGTTAGGGAACTTTTCTACCATTATTTTTTCAAACACGTTCTCTAACCCCTGCTACTTTCTTCCCCTTCTGGCACTCCTATTATGTAAATATTCTTACATTTCTTATTGTTCCACAGCTCCCTTAAACTGTCATCCTGTTTTTTCATTGGTTTTTCTTTTTGGTCCTCTGATTGAGTGATTTTTTTTTCTACCCTGTCTTCTAATTCACTGATCCAATCCTTGGCTTCCCCTAATCTGCTGTGTATTCCTTCCAGTGTGTTCATTATTAGTGCTATGTCATTCTTCATAGTTGTTATATCTTTTCTCATGCTGTTAAGCATCTTTACCATCATTATTCTGAACTCTGTGTCTCATAAATTTCTTATCTCTATTTCATTTAGTTCTTGCAGAGAATTCTCTTGTTCTCTCATTTGGAGCTTATTTTTTTGTCTCCCCATTTTGGCTGCCTGATGGGTTTGTGTCTGCATATTAGGTAGATCTACTACAACTCCCAATCTCTAGTATAGGAAAATGTCAGACACTGTTTGTGACTGGCCCTGAGTACCCGGTTTGGAGCTATCAGCAATCCCCAGTTTGTAGCTCCCCCTACTGGGGCTGGGTACCTTTGGAAAGGACCAAGATGTGCACCAGGTTCTGCTTTTCCTAGCCCCAGGCCTGGGATTAGATCAAAGTCTCAAAGCCTCCAGAGACGTGCCTCTGCCTGCATTCCCATTGACACTCAGACTGATTAGCCTCAGGCTATTGACCACAGTATGGGGCTATAGGTCTTCCAACAGGGTGGGGCAACTGCCTTCCCCCCAGGCAAAAACTACAGGATAGCAAAGGTCCACAGGAGAAAGATTTCCTCCTCAGCATGAGGGAATGACTCAGCACAGGAAGCCAGGGGGGCTGCTCCCTGATCTCCAACCCCAAAGCCCCCAATCCTGGCTTCTGCTCACACAGTTCCAGTCTACTCTACCCTTCCTCTGCCCAAGGTGAGTGGTTGTACACTAAGGTTTGTGTGTTGGCCCTTTAAGAGGGTTCCTGCATTTCCAGTCATCTCACTGTCAGACAGAACCATGCTGCTTTTCACATATAGTTGTTATGTGGGTACCTTTATCAGTTCTGTTGTTCTGGGCTGGAGAGCCCAGCTTGGGGTTTAGACCTCAGAGTTCTCAGTGGGAACCCCCCCCCAACTGAGATATCTCTCAGAACTTCAGCTGGTGTCCGTAGGGTCCCGGCCAGCCCTTTCGCTCCTCCCCACTTCCCACCAGTCTCTATGCGGTCTCCACTTTCCATCCTTGGTTATCAGGGGTCTCTCCAGCTAGTCTTCAATTGATTTTTCAGGATGGGTTTTCTGTATTTTAGTTGTATTTCCATTTTGGTCCTCGGAAAGTGTCAGTGTAACTTCCACTTACTCCATTGCCATTTTGGAATCGTCTGGGTTGGTTTTCAAAAAGGAAATAAGAATACTTTGTTATTTTTCACAGAAAAAAAAAAGATTAAGAAAATTGCTATCCTTAATCTTTAATCATTGTGTCTCCTCTGCCCTCTTTTCATGAAAAATCTAAGGGTTAATCTTAGCTAAAACCCATGCCCATTTCTTTGATACTAAACTCGGTGTTTTCTTCATGACGAAACATTTGGTGGGCTTTGTGAATCCTCCTGCTATATAATATGTATACCTTCTTTCCTGGGAAAGAGAAATTGCTAGACCAGCAATTTTTGACCTTTTTCATCTCATGGCACACATAAACTAATTACTAACATTCTGCAGCACACCAAAAAATATATTAAATTTTTTTTTGCCGGATCTGACAAATTAAAAAAAGGTATGATTTTGGTTGATTCACACTGGGTGGCTATTCTGTTAACTGTTGTCTTTTTTTTTTTTTTTTTTTTTTTTACAAAAAGAGGTCTGGGCTCCTGACTGAATAGTTAGATTTTTCATGTTGTAAAAATTCTTGCAGCACACCCATTGATAATGCTGTGTTAGATTAAAGGGGAAAGAGTACTTGGTCTGTGGGAAGTTGAAATTAGAACTTATCCATTGCTCCTGTTTTCTTTACAGCATGAAGAGGACTTTGAATTACGGAAAGAATTGATTGGACAGGTGATGAACCAGCTTGGACAGCAACTAGTAAGCCAGCTGCTCCATACATGCTGCTTTTGTCTCCCTCCCTACACCTTACCAGATGTGGCCGAAGTGCTCTGGGAGATCATGCAGGTTGACAGACCGGTAAGATTATTTTCATTAGGTACCCATTACTCCCAGGCCTAAACTTTGGTTCCTTGCAGCCAACTATACCTTTGAAAGCAGCCCTATTGAACATTCATGGAACCTAATTTAGGCATATTGCTAAGTTTAATTGTTAGATGAAGGGGGTCATATGAGGCCATTGATTCATCACTGGGTTATTGAAAGCATATTTTTGTCACTGTTGTATGGCTTATAAATTAAGTGAATACTAAGTGTACCCTAAGTGAATACTAAGTTTTGACTTCAGCTCTGTGGCCATCAGTGAGAAATGTGTTCATTTGTGGGAAATGCCCATTATCACTTGTATATTGTTACAGGTGATTTAGGAAGTGTTAATTAACTCCAAGCTCCTTAGATAGCACTGTATGGTTCCCTGGTAATAAATTGAGTCAGAGCATTTGGAGGCATATAGGTATGTTGTAAAACTAGTCTACAATATATACTTGATTTGCTTCCTTATTGGATTTATTTGCTTCCTGCTTTACTTCTTCAACCAAGTTTTTTATCACCTGAGCATGGACCTTTTTTTAGGCTATCCAGTAATGCCCAAGAAATTTCAGTACTAGTCCACATAGTCATAAATCAGGTTATGTATGCTGCATGAAAATTCTGAACATAGTGACAAAGTATATCATAGCCTGTAATATATTTTTTTAAATAGGATTTATAATTTTTGATATTTAATATAAAAGCAGTTGGACCTAGTTAAAGTGAGCTGTCTACCAGAAGAGAAAAATCCAGATACTTACAACTTTGAAGTACATGTATCTTAACATTGTCTTTTGCTTTATGTTATCAGTGGCAGTTCTTAGCCTCAATTTCAGCAGTTTTACAAAAGGGAATGCGCTTTTACTGTAAGATTCTGATATGACTGAGTCAGAAGTTCTACCTGGTCTGGTGTGTTCATCTCCAATATTCAGTGATTAGTGTATATTGTCTTAGTGGGCATATGCTTTACTTGATCTTAGGTTCAAACAAAAAACATTCACATGGAGAGCAGATGCTTAATAGATTTCCAACATTTTCTTTAGATTTATACTTCAGAAACAGCCACATAAACTTTAATTCTTATATATCAAACTCTGAGGCTCCTGCATGACTGCTTTTATCAAATAATCCTTCAGTGCTTCCATGTAAGTTCAGGTGTTTTAGGAATGAATAGTACCAGCAGTTCCCATTGCTGGGTGTTCAATACATATGTTCTGTTTCAATCTAATACAGTAGTATTTTTGTGTTTTCCTGAAGAAAGTACTCTGTGAGCCTAGAGACCAACAACTTTAATTCCAAAAGTCCTTGACATGAGAAATAAAATGTCCATACTTTCTCACTTTTTTACAAATATACTTGTTTACAAGTAACAAAAGACTTATTATATAAATTTGATTTTACAAAAACATTCTTGATTTGTAAACATATAGTTAAATGCTAAAAGAAGAAGAAAATGAGAACAGCAAGTTTGGACAGGAATACAAACCATGTAACCATGTGCTCTTTAAGAGTTTACTATAGACCAGTGATGGTGAACCTTTTGAGCTTGGCGTGTTAGCGTTTTGAAAAACCCTAACTTAACTCTGGTGTGTGTCACATATAGAAATCTTTTGGTATTTGCAACCATAGTAAAACAAAGACATATACTTTTGATATTTATTTTATATATTTAAATATACATAAATATATATTTATATATTTAACAAAGAAAAATCAACCAAAAAAATGAGTTTGCTTGTCACCTCTGACACGCTTGTCATAGGTTCGCCATCACTGCTATAGACCCATGAGCTAATGAAGCAATTTAAAGTGATTGTTTTCTGTAAATATCAACTACAGCTGAGTTTTTGTAAAGGAACTCTTACATAAATTTGGGTTGTCTATACCCTATAAGTAAACTGATTGAAGTTGTAATTAAGTATTTAAGTCCAGAGAACATTTACATTCTTGAGGACTTTCTTAATCATACCATTTTCAAAGTTCAATACCTTTTTAATAGAAGATGACATGCCAACTTTGTCTCTTGACTTGAGTGAACTTCTATAGCCCTTTCTTTTTTGGATATCCACCTGTGACAGATTTATTCAGTATTTTCTTTTTTTTAATATATTTTTATTGATTTCTGAGAGAAAGGGAGAGAGAGACATCAGTGATGAGAGAGAATCATCGATCTGCTGCCTCCTACACACCCCACACTGTGGATCAAGCCCACAACCTGGGCATGTGCCCTGACTGGGAATCGAATCATGACCTCCTGGTTCTTAGGTCGATGCTCAACCACTGAGCCATGCCAGTTGGGCTTATTCAGTATTTTCAACCTAATTTCTCAGATTGCTTTACTGGAAGATGACAAGGCTCATTATATGCTAGCTAATTAGTCTCTGCTTTTTAGTTTAGTTTCGTACTGTTTTTGTTTTGTTAACTCTTGAGTGATTTTTTAAATACCAAAACTTTGTCAATTAAGGATTTCCTGAATTTGTTGTCCCTGCTTTTTGTGTGTGTGTGTTGGGTTTTTTTTAACACATTGTTTGCGGGTAGTTTTTATCACGCGCTAACAGGTGGCGTGGGCCATTTTTGCTAATTTTTTGCGCAAATGGCAACGTTCAGTAAAATTACGATAACTTTAGTTTACGTATTTATACATTACCCGCATTCTACCGCTAGTCTATAAAAAACATATACGTGTCCCGCGCTCTACTACCAGTCAACGTAAAACGTATAAATACGTTTCCCGCATACAATGTGTTAAATATACTTTTTATTGATTTCAGAGAGGAAGGGAGAAAGAGATAGAAACATCGATATATAGAAAAGCCTAAGCAACCACTACGATCTGTCGACTGAACAACCAGTCACAGTGACGAGGCACTGACCACCAGGGGACAGACACTTAGTGCAGGAGCTGCCCCCTGGTGGTCAGTGTGCTCCCACAGCCAACCTCCCATTGCCGGCCAACCTCCTGCAGTCCCGATTGCCTGCCAGGCCGAGGGACCCCACCCATGCACAAATTCATGCACCGGACCTCTAGTCAATGATAAGAGAGAATCATTGATCTGCTGCCTCCTGCATGACCCCTACTGGGAATCAAGCCCACAACCCAGACGTATGCCCTTGATTGGAATCAAACCTGGGACCCTTCAGTCTGCAGACTGACACTATCCACTGAACCAAACCAGCTAGGGCTTTTTTTGTTTGAGTAGAGTGTTGCCTTCCTTGGGGGCAACATTTGAAATATTATGCAGTATTCTTTTGGAATAAGGAAAGGTTTATTGATGGAGAAGATGTCTGAAATCCATCTTAAGAAAGTACAGAATTCAGGCTTCTTTTATGTCAAGTGAAGGATAAATGGGAGAGGCAAGAGGTGATTGATAACCACAGACATCTGGACACCAGCAGGGGTCCAGAGGCCAACAATGGTCTGAGGAAGATTATTAAACTTTTTTGTTTTTAGTCTTGATTCTAGTTGATGTGAGTATGGTTACAAGCTTCCTACAAATAGTTTTGAATTTCCTGTACATGAGAGTTTACTGCACTTGTTTCCCATATAATCCAGTTCAACGGTACAGATTCTAAAGGCCTCATCACAATCCTCATTGATGATAATACTGTTGGTAACAATGAAAACGACACCAGGTGTTAAAACTGGTGGTGTCAGACCAGACCTCAGTTCAGCAACTTTGGTACTTGAGTTCTGGCTAAGAAAGAATTCAAAGCCAAGATTCAAACTATAAGAGAAAGTTTATTTAGAAAGTCACACAGGTAGAAGTGAGTCGTGGAAGAAATAGGCTCAGGAAACAAGTTATACAGGCTAAAGAAGGGCCCTTGGAGCTTAGGAGAGGGAAAAGGAAAGGTAATGCACCTGGGGGAAGAAGAGGGCGAGGGGAAAGGGACAGCATGCTCCCAGGAGGGAGAGTGTGCCATGCAGTACTTTTTAAGCATTTGTAGCGTAATATTTACTTTTCTCTGGTCTGTTATCATAAATTAACATAATGGGAAAACATATAATGTAAAAAAATTAGCTGGAAACTATAACCAAAGTATACATTCTACTTAAGAAAAATGTGAAGAAAAATTAGAACTAACTCAAAGAAGAACAATTCGACTGAAAATAAGAATCCAGAGGAAGTCTCTAGAATTTTGATTTTTAGTTTGAAAAAGGAAGGAAGCAAGGGGGCAGAGGATAAGCAGTTTTTGTGCATATGAAAGGTACAAAGATACCTTATTTGGGTATAAATAAATTTTTTTAAATAGCAACTAGAGTGAACAACAAAAGAACTTTCTAACCCAAGGAAGGGAGGGTATCACGAAGGACCTTATTGACATGACTTCTGAGAGAGATAACCTTAAAATCCTGAAATTTCTGAATTTATATTACATATCTACTTTGACATGTTTACTAACTATACTTTTTGTCCCTACCCTTTCTGATACCTGAACCTTTGCCTTTGATCTTTAGACTCAAGAGTTTTATGGCAGATATTTAATTTTTAAAATACTGTATGAGTTTAATGACAGGAACAGAACAATAGCCTCATCCAGGAGAGACTTCCCTCTCAAGGAAGAAGGCTCTTTCTGAAATGATGTCTGCTACCCCTTTGAAGGGAAGTCTAGGCATGTCTTTGTATCCGATTCCAACCCCCAGAGGGTTGGATGACCTGAAAATAGTGCTTTTGTTAATTCTTTTACTTGCTTCCAAGCCCCAGGGCACTAATGCTACTAAGGAAAACATGCAGGTTTTTGTTATTACCTATACAGTCCCAGTTGAGTAAGCCCTGCCTCCTTTAAACTCTTCTTCTTCTTCTTGGTACAGACTTTTTGTCGATGGTTAGAGAATTCCTTGAAAGGTTTGCCAAAAGAAACAACTGTGGGAGCTGTCACAGTGACACACAAACAACTAACAGATTTCCACAAACAAGTCACTAGGTGAGTGATGCTGGGTGTGTGTGTTTTTAAAGGAGTATGAACTGCAGCTGGGGTGTGTAGAGAAATATATCTTTGTTTCTTGTACCATCTTAGTTACAGATCTGCCCAGGAGTATGTTTCTTATGTGCCTTTGTATTTTTAGTGTCCATGTAGTCTTGAATTGCAGATTGGCATGGGAAGCCAGTCTTGGGGAAAATATCACCATGTAGTATATGTGTGTGTCAGTTTGACTGTACATATATTAACTGTTATAAGAACTTAATAAGTAAGTGGAAGCATTATATTTTTCAAAAGAAAAATGCACTGGGCAGCACACTACCCTGCAGGAGATCTGTTTTTTCCTTTGAAGTCCTCAATTCTCATTCATATTCAGGGGTCAAGAATGCAGGTGTCTGAATAGGTGAAACATTGGTTGTAAAGCAAAGAGTGATGTAGACTGCAATAAATTGGAAAAATTTTGCCATACCTAAAACAAATAAAAATCTCTCTGGGATGCATTAGGCCCATGAGCCACTTGCTTACAGCTCACTTAAAATGTTAGGTGTACATAAGTGGGTTTTTCACTATGAACATAATAAACATTTTATACTAGAGGCCCAGTGCACAAAAATTTGTGCACTCGGGGGGGAGGGGGGTCCCTCAGCCTGGCCTGTGCCCTCTCGCAGTCTGGGACCCCTCGGGAGATAACGACCTGCTGGCTTAGGCCTGCTCCCGGGTGGCAGAGGGCAGGCCCAATCCCTAGGTGCAGCCCCTGGTCGGGCTCAGAGCAGGGCCGATTGGGGAGTTGGGGTGCCGCCCCGTCATGCACAGAGCAGGGCAGATTGGGAGGTTGTGATGCCACCCTCAGTCACGCTCAGGGTAGGGCCAATTGCGGGGTTGGGGCACCGCCCCCTGTCACACTCAAGGCAGGGTCGATGGGGAGGTTGCGGCGCCACCCCCTGTCACGCACAGAGCAGGGCCAATCAGGGGGTTGGGGCGCTGCCCCCGTCACACACAGAGCAGGGCCCATCAGGGGGTTGGGGCACCGCCCTCTATGACCCACAGAGCAGGGCCGATCAGGGGGTTGGGGCGCCGCCACTCTCACACTCAGGGCAGGGCCGATGGGGAGGTTATGGCTCTACCCCGACACACACAGAGCCGGGCCTGTGGGGGAGGGGTTGGGGATCTCCCCCCTATCAGGCACAGAGCAGGGCTGCTCGGGGGGGTTGGGGCCCCGCCCCCTGTCACACACAGAGCCGCAGGGCAATCAGGGGGTTTGGGCGCTGCCCCCTATCACGCTGATCCCGATGCTGGGAGGCATATTACCCTTTTACTATATAGGGTAGAGGCCTGGTGCATGGGTGGGGCCAGCTGGTTTGCCCTGAAGGGTGTCCTGGATCAGGGTGGGGGTCCCCACTGGGGTGCCTGGCCAGTCTGGGTGAGGGGCTGAGGGCTGTTTTCAGGCTGGGAGTGACTGAAGTTCCCAACCGCTCCTTTTTTTCTTTTTATTTTTTTATTCTGGGCCAGCTTTACCTCGAGGCTTGGCTCCAGCTCTTAGGCCTCCGCGGCGCCTGAAAGTAGGTTTCCGGCCTTTGCTTACAATGTTGCGAATCTGCTGGCTGAAGTCCGGTGGTATTTGTTACAATCTTTATTAAACTGCCTGCTCAGAGGCCTGCAGCCGCAGGCGGGGAACGTTGGTTTCCTCCAATGATCCCCCGTCACTGAGGCAAGCAAGCCTCATGTTAGTTTCAAGCTGCCTGGCTGCCAGCCGCCATCTTGGCTGACAGTTAATTTGCATATCTCGCTGATTAGCCAATGAAAAGGGTAGAGGTCGTACGCCAATTACCATGTTTCTCTTTTATTAGTGTAGATAGCTACATAGTCTTTCTAATCACTATTTTATCTCTATACAGGTATTGCTTGATTTCTTTATAGTACTTCTCTTAGTAGACATTTGATCTTGTTGTTTGTTGTTGTTTTCAGTGTTATAGATAATATGGTAAGTCTAGCCTTTCCTTCTTTTGACCATTTTCATTAAAATCATTGAATCAAAGGTTATGAGACTTTTATGGTCCTTGATAATATTAATGACAGCAACTTAAATTGGATGTTATAACTGTGTGTTACCTTGCCTGGATATTCCTTTTTGTGTCTAGAGTCTAGAATTTTGACTAAATTTTAGGCAGTGTCTTATATTCATTCAGTTGTGGGACAATTTCTAGATCCAAGAATGAGTGTTGCAAAAGGTTGATAATAGTGAAAAAAACTTGAAATATTCCAATTGCCCATCAGTAGACAAACAATTATATAGCAGTTTGTCTATAGTAGTAAGTAGGCACTTAAAAAAAAAGGAAAAATGCATATATGAAAAATAAGATATAAAGGAGGGAATAACAGTATCATGTAAACTCAACTTGCACTTAAAATAATTTTAATAAAATACAGAGTTGATCATCTTAATCATTTTGAGTGCACTGTTAGCAGTGTAAGTACATTCACATTGTTGTGACTGTAGAACTTTTTCATTTTGCACAACTGAGGCTGTGCCCATTCTCTGCTCACCCTGCCCCTGGCAGCCATCATTCTGCTTTCTCTCTCTGTGTGTGTGTGTGTGTGTGTGTGTGTGTGTGTGTGTGTGTGGTTTGAGTGCTCTAGATACCTCATATAAGTGAAATCATACTGTATTTATTTGTTTTTTTGTGATTTGTTTAGCATAATGTCTTCATATGTTTAGCATAATGTCTGTGTTATAGCATATCTCAGAATTTCTTTTTAAGGCTAAAATAACATTCATGTGTGTGTGTGTCTGTCTATATATACACCACATTTTATTTTTTCATTCCTCTGCTGATGAATATTTGAGTTGTTTCAGCCTCTTGTCTGTTGTAAGTAATGCTTCTGTGATCATGAATATACGAATATCTTAAGACCCGGCTTTCAATTCTTTTGGATATATATCTGAACATGGAATTTCTGGATTATATGGCAATTCTGTTTAATTTTTTGAAGAACCTCCATACTATTTTCCATAGTGGCTTTTATCTTCCCATGAACAGTACATAAGGTTCTGATCTCTCCATATCTGTTTTTACTTTTGTTGCCTGTGCTTTTGGTGTCATATCCAAGAAATCATTATCAAATCTAATGTCATGAAGTTTTTATCCTATTTTTTTCTAACAGTTTTATAGTTTTAGGTCTTTGATCAATTTTGAGTTAGTTTTTGTATATGATGTATGTTAAGCATCCAACTTTGTATTTGCACGTGGACATCTAGTTTTCCCAGCACTGCCCTTTTCTGCATTGAGTGGCATTTTTTATTGAAAATCATATGCAAGGGATTTATTTCTGGGTTCTCTATTCCATTGGTCTGTGTGTCTGTCTTTATGTTAGTACCATACCATTTTGATTACTATAGCTTCAATTTTAAAATTGGGCAGTGTGAGACCTCCAACTTTGTTCTTTTCAAGATTATTTTGGCTCTTCTAGGTCCCTTGTGATTCCACATTTTTTTGTTTTCACACACAAAAAGTCAATTGGGATTTTTTTTTAAATAGGAATTACATTGAATCTGTAGATCAGTTTGGATAGTATTGACATCTTAACAATATTAAGTCTTCCAATCCATGAGCACAAGACGTCTTTCCATTTATTGGTGTCTTTAATTTCTTGCAGCAACATTTTGTAGTTTAAGCATTTTATTCTTTTTGATGCTATTATAAATGAACTAATGTGTACTTTTTAAAGATATATATTACTTTATGCATAGAAAATTATTTCTGGAAAGATATATAACTAGGACCAGGAAGGGGAGGGAGACTTGCACTTCATAACCTCTGTACTATTTGCATTTATTTCATGACCATGTGCTATACTTTTATATTTGAAACCAGACCCAGTTTTTAAAAGTGAGAAAAAATACAATGAATTTTAGGCAATGGATCAAGAGCTAAGAGCTAATCTTCTTTTCTAAGAATTGATTTTTTTTAAAAAAAATTTTTATTACTGAACGTATAACATATGTCCCCCGTTTTCCCCCATTGGCCCCTTCTAGCTCGCCCCACACCCCACGCCTTCACCACCCTATTGTTGGTGACCATGGGTTATGCATATATGCATACAAGTTCTTCTCACCCACCCACCCTCCCTTGCCTTCCCTCTGAGATTCCACAGTCTGTTCTATGCTTCTATGTCTCTGGATCTATTTTGTTCATCAGTTTATTTTGTTCATTAGAGTCCACATATGAGTGAGATCATGTGATACGTCTCTTTCTCTGACTGGCTTAGTTCACTTAGCATAATACTCTCCAGGTCCTTCCATGGTGTTTCAAAGAGTAAGAGATCCTTTTTTTTTACTGCTGCATAGTATTCCATGGTGTAAATGTACCACAGCTTTTTTATCCACTCATCTACTGATGTGCACTTGGGCTGTTTCCAGATTTTAGCTATTGTAAATTGCACTGCTATGAACATAGGGGTGCATACATTCTTTCTGATTGGTGTTTCAGGTTTCTTAAGATATGAGAATTGATTTCTTAATGTCATTTTATTTCTTTTTTAACTTATTTAATATTTTTTAATCATTTTTATTTTTTAATTACAGTTGACATACAATATTATATTCATTTCAGTGGTTAGACACTATATAACTTACCAGGTGATCACCCTGATAAATCTCATACCCATCTGACACTAGACATAGTTATTAGAATATTATTTTTTCTTTTTGTTTTTTAGAATATTATTGACTCTATTCCCTATACTGTACTTTACATCTCCATGACTATTCTGTGACAACCAACTTGTATTTCTTAATTCCTTCGCCTTTTTCACCCTCCCCCCAAACTCTTCTCCTATCTGGCAACCGTCAAAATGTTCTCTATAGCCCTAGCTGATTTGGCTTAATGGATAAAGCCTCAGCCTGCGGACTGAAGGGTCCCAGGTTCGATTCCGGCCAAGGGCACATGCCTGGGTTGTGGGCTTGATCCCCAGTAGGGGGCGTGCAGGAGGCAGCCAATCAATGA